GATCAGGCCAAAGGCCCATCCAGTCCAACACTCTGTATCCCACAGTGGCCAGAAATACCAGTGCCATCAGGAGGTCCACCAGTGGGGCCAGGACATTAGAAGCCCTCCCACTGTTGACCCCCCCCCCAAGCACCAAGAAGACAGAGCATCCCTTGCCCCAGAGCCCCTAGCTATACCTTGTGGCTAATAGCCACTGATGGACCTCTGCTCCATATGCTTATCTAATTCCCTTTTGAAGCCGTCCATGCTTGTAGCCGCCACCACTTCCTGTGGCAGTGAATTCCATGTGTTAATCACTCTTTGGGTGAAGAAGTCCTTCCTTTTATCTGTTCTAACCCGACCGCTCAGCAATTTCATGGAGTGCCCACGGGTTCTTGTATTGTGAGAAAGGGAGAAAAGTACCTCTTTCTCTACCTGCTCTTTCCCATGCATAATCTTATAAACCTCAATCATGTCACCCCTCAGTCGTCGTTTCTCCAAGCTAAAGAGCCCTAAGCGCCTTAACCTTTCCTCATAGGGAAAGTGTTCCAACCCTTTTATCATTCGAGTTGTCCTTTTCTGCACTTTTTCCAAAGCTATAATATCCTTTTTAAGGTGTGGTGACCAGAACTGCACACAGTATTCCAAATGAGGTTGCACCATTGATTTATATAGGGGCATTATGATATTGGCTGATCTGTTTTCAATATCACTCTGGACACTGCCATTCCAGTCCCAGAGTAGTATATCTGGGCCTAGAGACCTTAAAGGAAAATCCATTACACATTTTCTTTGCAGCCTTTTTTTATGCTTTAGCCCAGAGGTGCTTCCTGCTGGAGGAGAAACTATGTAGAGAAGGCCCAGCCAACTGGGAAGTTCGGGAGCTCTGATCTCCCTCGGAATGGTGAGGACAGGCAGGGAAGGGGTGGGTGGTGGGGGAAGAGAGCCATGGGCCTGGTTAAAGCCCTGGGTGGGTCGCTTCTGGCCCACGGGCCTTAGGTTTGACACCCTGGCCTAGGGGATGTACAAAGCATAAGGACAGTACAGTGTCCTGACAATAGTCTTATATGGTTCTCGGTGCCACCTAGATTGTAGGAAAAGTGGTCTAAAATAAAGTTTACACAATGACAGAGGGGTGGATGAGAGATCTCCAACCATATCTCTAATTATACACGTGAGGAAAAGATCAACTGAAGTGATAAGTAGGTAACAGTCTTTCTGGTCTTGATAAGGGTGTCTAGAGCAGGCTAGTAAAAATATATCCCTCACATGAACTGGTATTTTGGCCTATTTGGGTCCAGCATAGTTCTAACACTAATATACATAGCAAAAAAGACAGGCTGCTCAAAATACTGCAGTCTGATGTTTGGAAGCACAGAAATGATCAGCAGCGAAACACCAGCATCTTTCAGAACACTTTATTGTTTCATTAAAACCAGACACTTAAGTGAAAAAAACATAACACAACATTAAATAAAGTCTCCCTCCGGCAGCTAGGCTTTGAACGTGGGCTATACAACACTATAGCCAGCTACCTTCAGACAGCATCTCAGGAGACAGTCTGAGTGTTGGCCTCCCCCAGGAACCAAACACTGTTTTTTTCCACAGTGTTATCAATTCTACTGGATCTCTTTCGCTGTGATACTTTGCATTCAGGCACAATGTTACCCAGATGAAGCTTGTGGAATCAATGTACCCCATTTCTGAGCTCTCCACATTGTCACAATGGCCAGATCCACTTTGTCCTGGCATGCTCACCTTCCTAGCCTCTGTGCAGAATCATCAGATGCAGGGACCTAAGGCCTTCCCTTTACAGGGGAGTCCTTCTTGCTTATTGCCTATGATACCTCACAGCTTCATGAGATGAGCAATTTGATCCCTTCTCTTCCATTCTCCTGCCCGTGTCTTGCTTTTGACACGGAACTTGAGCATCTCTGCCTTGAAGTCCTGATGGTGCATGGGGCAGTAACTGTGTGGCTCACACATCTCCTAAGAGAAAAGGATGAAGTCAAGGACAAAGTCAATGTTAGAACACAGTCAGATTTTTTGTAACATAGGATCCAGTGAGTCCCTCACAAATTGCAATGAAAAAAAACAAAAACAGCCAATCAAGGAAATGAGTCTTATTAGATCCAGTGAGTCCCTCACAAATTGCAATTTTTAAAAAAAACAGCCAATCAAGTAGCTTGTGTTTTGCATACAGAGAGGAAATGAGTCTTATGAATAATTTCTTCTAGAGGCTCAGAAACCAGTAGTCTGAGCTTGATGAAGAATTCTGTACCTGGTACCGCTTACTTTCTTGCCCTTCCATTCTGGTTCTATGTACCAATTCCCTGTCCAGCATTATTCCCCATGTGTGTTCCATTCTAATTCCCTAGTCTATGCTCGACATTTGAAAACCTACACAAGAAACGTGTGTGTGTGGGGGAAGAGTCTGCAAGTGATCATGATCTCGTGTGCCTAAGTTTTTCTTGCATCAAAGTTTTCCCATACATCCTGTGTACAGTACACAGCAGCAATAGTTCACCAAGCTTCAACAGTGAGGGGGCACCTGTGCAGGATATAAACACTTAATAATAAACAAAGATGAATAAAAGGGAAGGCAAAAATTTATCCATCAAGCAAAGCATAGCTGAATTGTCTGTCCATATGAGAGCTGGAAGCTTTAGAGTTCTAATAACATCAGCAACATTTATCTTTCTATTTCCTAGAAGAACACAGAGCTGGGAATTATACAACAGAAGGCTTTTTATTTGCTGTTACCTTGTACTCTAGAAAAAAGTCCTTGTAGCCACCCTGAAGGACATACAGTTCAGGGTAGTGCAGTGCAGGATACTCATTCATGGCTCTGTCTTCTTCCCTCAAATAACGACACCTTCAATCAGCGGGAAGCACAGTAAGCAAAAAGGCAAGAATTAGACACTCTGTCAAGGAATACCCCAGAATTTATTTTTCTTTCCCTTAAAATAGCTCCCCTGGCCTTACTGAGACTCACACTCACATCTTGGGGCCTCTTTCAGAGGAGAATTCACAGTGGAAGATAAGTACAAGACGCTTCTGTGGTGCTGACGGGAGAAGGGGCTTCCTCAGGAAATGCTCAAAGAGATCATCTTGTCTGTGGATGTTCAATGCTCCCTGCAACAGGGGAGTGGGAGATAAATTACAAGGATTATGTACAGAGAACAGCCCACTCCTTCCCTGGATATGACTCAACCAACAAATGAATTCTTCACCTTGATGTGCCCTCCATGATACTCATAGGGGTACCGGCAGTCAATGATGCAGAATTTCTCTATAAGGCTCTGGAACTGATCATGGAGCAGAGCAGCCATCTACAAGCAGAGCAGAAGACTCCAGTTCAGCTGCAAAGGCTGCCCTTAGTACAAGGGTCCCCACAACCTTTTCGAGCCCATGTGCACCTTTGGAACTCTGGCAAAGCATGATGGGTGCAGCCACAAAAATGGCTACCACAGAATGGCTGCTGTAGGAGGCTGAGACAGCCACAAAATGGCTGCTGCCGTTTACCTTCTCTCACACAATGTAAATCCTTGTCTTGTGGTGACAGCTGCCGCCAAAGCAATGTTTTAAAATCTCCACAACTGATCAAATCTCCTATTTTTATTTATTTATTTATTCATTCAATTTATACCCCACCCTCCCTGCCAAAGCAGGCTCAGGGCGGCTTTTGGCCAATCAGAAACGGTGCTTGGCAAAAGCCCCACCTGCCCTCTAAAAACACTTGGTGGGCACTAGAAAATCTGTCAATGGGCAACATGGCACCCACTGGCACCACGCTGGTGACCCCTGCTCCACTACACGGATGCCTATAAACCATTGAGACAGAGGACAGCCCCTGCTACAGGATAAATTATAGTTCCAGTTGGGAACATATCGTCAAGTGCACAAAATAATATTGAGGATAGGACAAAATCTAATTTGGGTCAAGAACTACAGCTATCCTGCCCACAAGGTAACCTCAGTTTTAGAATAGGACGTCAACAGAAACATGTGCAGAGCCAGAGTGCAGCATGCGTGGAGGACAGAGGAGACATACAAAGCCAAGGACACACACAAAACAGGGGCCATTGCTCACAGTTTGCGAGGTGATATATCTCAGGTCCTGATGCCTTCCCATTACAGTTGGCAGTGCAAACACCTAGAGAGAGAACATGTGCCACATTTTATTTCTGGTATCTGGAGAACTGCAGAAGGCGCACTACCTAAATTCTACCACCAAAGTTGTGATTCTTAGTTGGGACACCAGCACCACTGAACTCAGCAAGCTATACTTCTATCCAAGCAAGCATGCATACTTCATTTCATAAAAATACTCCACGTGCTCTGAAAAACAGCACAACTGTCTGCTTCATCCTGTTCTACAAGTTTACAAGGCAGAGTATTAAAACTCTAGATTAAAATTGTTGGATTTGAATAACCAGAGTTATGAAAACCTGGGAAAGTTTATCTAGTCCTGACTATTTGAACAAAATATAAAGGTAGGTGGGCCATGGAAAAGTTCATTATGTGGGTCTGGAGAAGCACCATAGAGTACAATGATCCTACTGCCTTTGCACAGAGCAACATATGGTGCAATTCCCATTTGTGGCGAACGTGAATATTATTTATATCGGGTAGTTCCTGATTTAATGTATCACCTCACATTTTCCAAGTTTTCCTCCATGCCTTGATAGTGCCAGTACTGTTCTTACTTCTGATGTAGCAAACACCACTACTGGTATTTTAAGGTAGGCCTGAGCTTGTTGCCCAAGTTCACTGTCTGGGTAATTGACTAAGAGCAAAGCCTTTTGTTGGCAAAAAATTGCATAGACTAACAGTATTTTAAGATACTAGAATGATACAGCAGAGGGAGAATGGGGTAAAAAGTTGGGAAGCAATAGAAGTATTTCAAGAGATATGGAGAGGAACTACGAGTTCTGTAGAAGTACCGAAAACATACTCCCTGATAATTGCTGCATGGTAGGTTTTTTGTGCTTTCAGCACTTTTTTTTAAAGCTTCTCTGCAAAGTGATGGCCAGAAGTTCTCTGGATTATGAAAGGTTCAGCAGGTTGTACCAAATATAATCCCCATTGTCCATGAATCAGTGTTATCCGCTCCCCCAGAGTTTTAACATGGAGAACTGCTGTTAAGGCAGCATACACAGATTTAATATTTTGTCCAAGAAATGTAAATAAACTTTCAGGTTGCAGAGCTGATGACTGAGTATGTAGAAAAGATTGATGTGAAACAATTGTGGATGCTTAAGCAAAATATATGTAACTATTCAAAGAATGTTACACAGCATAGTGGAGCCATTCCCCCCGCCTTTACACCAACAATTAGCAAGGCCCTTTCGCCCTAGCAAAGCCAGAACTTCTCCCATAAGCCTGAGAAAACCCCTGACTCAGAAGCCAGGAAGAAACCTACATTTGAGAAATCTCCAATTAGCTGTCTGCGGCCAAAGTCTTGGTCAAGTGCTCTGACAATCTCCATGTCAGAAAAGGAAGTTGTTTTTTTCAAAAGCACAACCTGTAAGCAAATCATAAGTCATCAGCTACACGTAAGCAAATGAGTCCCTGGTCAGCTTTTTACTGTCCATATAAGAGCAACACCAGAATTATCATCACCTCTGCTAGATGTGATGAGAGAAGAACAGGACAGGCAAGGGGAAAGGACAGCAAACATTTATGGGTGATAGCTACTTCTGACTCTTCTTCCAGCCAGGATGCTGGTGGTGACCATATCAACAACCAGATGGGCTGTATCTTGCTTTTAAATACTAGGTCAGTTACAAATGAAACAGCAGCCATCCTAGGATTTAATTCTAGATGAGAGGGCTGACTTGGCATGTATCACTGAGACCTGGCAAGGGGAGGGGGGAAGAGTTAACTTTTCCCAACTATGCATCCCCAGGCTACTCAGTGATGGATTAACATAGGCCTTGGCGGGCAGGGAGGTGGTTTTGTGTAGTCTACCAGGATCCTGTCTCCTTGGCTCAATGCCTTGTCCATAACTCTTCTGGATGACTTATGGTGGTGGACAGGAAGAATGTGAACCTGTTAATTCTCCTGGACATCTCAGTGGCTTTTGATACCATGGATGATGGTATCCTTCTGGACTGCAAGGCACTGTTCTGCAGTGGTTTCACTCCTGCCTCAAAGGTAGGTTTCACAATATGGTGTTAGGTGACTACTGCTCAGCCCCTTTGCATTTGGCCTACAGGGTCCAGCAACAGTCCATCTTGTCCCCCATGCTTTTTAGCATCCATATAGAGCTGTCGGACAGATCATCTGGAGATCTAAACTGACTTGCCACCAATATGCAGATGACACTCAGCTTTATCTTGCACTTCTTGCAGATCCCAGGGGGGCTGTAGAAAATGTGATCAGTTGTCTGGAGGCAGTTCTGGAACTGATGAAAGCTAACAAACTGAAATGTGATCCCAACAAAATGGAGGTGCTGCTAGTGGAAGGAAGGTTTGACCCCAGGAATTGGGCTATCCCCTGTTCTGGTGGGGCTGCACTCCCCCTAAAGAACAGGTTTGTAGCTTTGGACCCCGGGCCTCTTATCAGATAAACAGGTGGCAGCAGTGGCTAGGGTGCCTTTCTCCAGATTCGGCTGGTCAGCCAGCTGTGGCCCTTGCTGGGCAGAAAAGTTCTTACAACTGTGCTGCCAGCCCTGGTAGCATCTAGACTAGGTTACTGCAATGATCTGTACATGGGCTGCCCTGGAAGATTGTCCAGAAGTTATAGTTGGTACGGAACGCTAAGTGGAGTGGTTTGCAGGGACCATATTATACCTGTCTTGTTTCATCCAGTTTGGTGTAGCGGTTAAGTGTGCGGACTGTAATCTGGGAGAACTGGGTTTGATTCCCCACTCCCCCACTTGCACCTGCTGATGTGACCTTGGGTCAGTCACAAGCTCTGGCACAGCTGTCCTTGAAAAAGAGCAGTTTGTGTCAGAGTTCTCTCAACCCCACCCACCTCACAGGGTGTCTGTTGTGGGGACGGGGAGGGAGAGGGGTTTGTAAGTCGCTCTGAGACTCCAAGTGAAGGGCGGGGTATAAATCCAATCTCTTCTTCTTCTACTCTGACTCCTAAATTGCTTTCAGGCCCTGTCCACTCCAGTCATCTGCAGAAGCCCTCTTTGGGTCCCCCACCACCTGAGGATAGACAAGTGGCAGCCCATTTGGCATGGTACCAAAACCTTGGAACTCTCTCCCTAGGAAGATTCATCAGTCTCCCTCTACTGTTATCTTCCACCAGCCAGTGAAGACTTTGTTTTGTTTGACATCCCCCTGCTAACTGTTCTTGGTCCTCCTCCCTGACTGTGTTGTGTGTTTATATGTTTTAATGTTTTGATGTTCGCCACCTTGGGGGGGAAAGGTGGCACACACAGTTTGAAATATCAAAGTAATACTATAAATAGTAATGTCTTTTTTGCCTTTACTGGTTCATGCAATAGATACTGGAAACCATAGTTGGAACAAACACAACTGTACCCCATCTGGCTGTTCTTGGATCGGGCTGTGTTTTTGCTTCACCTTCATGAGAGTTTCATCACCATGGTTCTTGACTGTCTGCTTCAGCACAGGCCTGTTCAGTTTTTCTGGCAGTGATGGTGATCGGAAGAGACGGTTCTTGTTCATGGAGGCCTGCTCAGACAGTATGCCAACAGGAAAAGAACATTGGGAGGGGAGGGCAAAAACCTTTCCCAGTTCTCTTAAACACACTGACAAAAACATCAGGATTTCCAAAGAGAATGCTAGAATTTAATGAGGAGAAGCTAGATTTTAGTTTTGGCAGTTACTAGGAGGATGTCCCCTCACATAAAGTTGACTGAACTCTTGTCACCAAACACTTCAGATGGGCTAGAAAATAACACTAACGAATCATCTCCTTAGCAGCCTTCCAAGTAAGTCCACAAAAAAAGTTATCAGCCTACCATATATTTATTAGTCATTTGCACTCTCTTAAAGAGAAAGAGCAAATTCACCTGGAGGAGAGCACCTGACAAGACTCAGCTTGCCATAACACACAAAACTCATATTCACCTCGCTGACATTGATGTCCTGGGAAAGAAGGGGTCCAGAAAGTAGGACAGCCATGCTGGAGAGGTGGCCAGCAAGTGGCTTCTAAGGGAAAAATACAGGGGAAAAAACCATCAAACGCACAACCCAACGGTTACTTCATTGAACTAATTTTGCTGAATGCTGGGTTAACCTAGAACTGCTTTTGCTCAGGAAAATATAAACCAACTCTCTTTGTATTTCAGTTGACACGCAACATCAATGTTATCATGTATGTAAGTCAGAAAAAAGGATATTTCTTTTTTAAAAGGCACTACACAAGTCCAAATGCCTCCCAATCTACCAGTTTTGCTTCAGGGAAGGATATATATTTTATGGGGGCGGGGAAACTGAGCTGAGGAGCAGACAGGAGTGCAGAATTTTAAAAAAGAAATGGTACCAGGTCTCCAAATACATTTCCTTTAACTTTGGCTGGAGCTGTAATCAATGCTCCCTCTAAGCGGTGGAGTCTTGTGAGCAAAAATTCTACGTTGTAAGCTACTGACATTAGAGTTGTGAGCCAGCGATTTGGCTACTGGATAAAATAGTTTGCTCTGGAGCCATCCTCTCTGAGTTAAGACAAAAATGTGTGAGCTGGAGGCTAAAAAACTGTGAGCTAGCTCACACTAACTCAGCTTAGTGGGAACACTGGCTGTAATTAATAATCAGTTATGAAACTGCCTATGTTGGCAAAGCAGCATGTGACGTTTTAGCACAAAGGCTTCTTCATATCAACAGAGAAACTACTGAACCAAGAACAGATCTCTATCAAGAGTACATGCTATCAAAGAATTAGAAATACACACACTGTTCAATACAGAGGAGATTGCTTAGTATAACTTTTTTAAAAGCAGTGGCTCAGCATGGAAGTTAAATGATTACAGATATTTGGACACTTGAAATGTATACATTTGAGCAAATGAGGAGGATCTGTGCCGCACTCATCCACTGAGGTTTTTCACTGTTTGAGAGTTTCTCACTGTAATACTACACAACCCTGGGGACCCATGCAATGTTCCCTCTAAGTTATGGAGTCCTGTGAGCAAAAATTCTACTCTCTGAGCTACTGGCATTAAAGTTGTGAGCCAGCAATTTGGCTACTGCACTCAATTAGTTTTCTCTGGAGCCATCCTTCCTGAGCTAAGACAAAAATGTGTGAGCCAGAGGCTAAACAACTGTGAGCTAGCTCACACTAACTCAGCTTAGAGGGAACACTGGTCCCATGTACTGCCAGACCACATTTACTTGCCTCCTGCCTAAGTACTTTCTCGCCAAATCTGCAGCGTTGCAGCATGAAGAAATCCAGCACTGCTCTCTAGAGGACAAAACAGTAAGACTGCCATTTGTGGCTGGCAACTCCTACTTTTTCTCACCTCAGTCTCTTCCAGCTCTTCAGGACAGAGCTCTGGAAAGCCATCCAAGGCCTCTGGCATTCTATGTGTTGCCCCCGCAGCAATTGGACTGCCAAGATCCTTCATCTCATACTCTTCCAGACTCCCTCTTTCCTGCCCGTAGAAAAGATGAAACAGTCTCACAGGTGAAAGCCACTGCTTCCCAAGCATAAAAATGCTTATTGTAGTTCATGAATAATGCATTTTATGGATGAGATGGAGACTGACCTCCCTCTGAAGCTCAAGAATCTAAATGAATTAGAATAAAGTTTAATATCACTATATAAAAGATCTCTATTTAATTTGTTTTTCTGGAATGTGGATTTCTCTTGCAACGTTTCTACATCTGTGACTATATGAGTAATTAGTCCTGATGTTTGTGTTATTATGGGTTGGATTTTTCTAAACAATTATTGACTTACAATATTGGTACATCTTCATCTCTTCGTGCTCCACAATTCTTCAAAGTGTACCTACTTTTCTTTTTAGTATTTATTATTTTATTTATATCCCGCCCTCCCCGCAAGTAGGCTCAGGGTGGGTTACATCAATCTCAGTATAATAAATGCAATTCAATTAAAAACAACTCTAAAATAACAATTTAAAACAGTACAGAAACATAAGATACCATGTAAAATAGATTAGCTCAGATATCAGTTACAATGTCAAATCAGTTAAAATACAACAGTGGGTACCCAGATGTCTATTTGGATCCAGGCCACTGATAGGAGATTAGCCAGGGAAGAGGGGACATCCTCTGCCTCCACCAAAAGCTCAGTGGAAGAGCTCTGTCTTGCAGGCTCTGTGGAACTGTAACGGGTCCTGATCTCATACAGGAGCTCATTCCACCAGGTGGGGGCCAGGACTGAAAAAGCCCTGGCCCAGGCTAGTCGGACGTCCCTGGGGCCAGGGACTACCAAAAGATGTTGGTTTGTGGACCTCAGTGCCCTACAGAGCTCGTATACTGCCCCCTGGCTGTATAGGGCTTTAAAGGTAAGTACCAGCACCTTGAAACGGATCCCGAATTCAATAGGCAGCCGGTGCAGTTCACGCAACACTGGTGAATACGAGCCTGCACAGGCGTCGCCATCAGCACTGTGCTGCTGCATTCTGCACTAGCTGCAACTTCCGGAGCAGAGTCAAGGGCATCCCCATGTAGAGAGAGTTTTAATAATCCAGTCTGGAATTGACCGTTGCGTGGGTCACCGTAGCCAGGTCTTGGGGGGTGAGATATGGGGCCAACTGCCTGATCTGCCTCAGATGGGAAAAGGCAGACGTGGCAGTGGCAGTGACCTGGGCCTCCACAGAGAGGGAGGCATATCCAGGAACACCCCTAGGCTCTTCACCCTCAATATTGGCACCAATGGAGCCCCATCAAAGGCTGGGAGCCTGATTCCTTGACTCAATCCCCCATGACTGAGGTGCAGGATCTCTGCCCTGGATGGATTTAACTTCAGTTGGCTCTGTCGCAGCTATCCAGCCACAGCTTGTAACTCCTAGTCCAGATCTCCTGGGGCTGTGTCTGAATGGCCGTCCATCAGTAGACAGAGCTGGGCGTCGTCCACATACTGGTGACAACCCAACCCATACCGCCGGATAATCTGGGCGAGGGGGCGCATGTAGATATTAAACATGGGAGAGAGAACTGCTCCCTGTGGCACACCACATTCCACTGGGTGTTGCTGTGATAACCCCCTATTCACTCATTCAAAATGTATTGATATGTGGCTGATATGTGGTATTCAGTGAATGATCTGGGAGTATACAATACTGTAGACTTGCTAAAGCTAAGCAGGGACAAACTGAAACAGCAATGTGGATGGGAGACTATTAAGAGCCTCAGGGAAAAGTGGAATACAAGTACAATATAATAACTTCACGGGTATATTAAGTTATTCCCTCTGCGATTCAGTGATGTGGCCACAGTGAGAGTTCGTCTCCTAAACCCTAATGAGGCATGACATGATAGGTCTGCTACATAAATCACCATGTGAGCATCATTGCTGGAGCATTAAGTTTGGGGCTTGGGTAAACCTGAGCTCTCTCATCGAGGTGCCTCATTTCCTAACAGAGAAGTACCTCATCACAGAGAATCAACAGCCCACCTGAACTGGCCATTTGAGGAGAGTGCTACAGTTCCCTGGGAAAGATCCTCTCCCCCCCCCAATAGAAGAGTGGAAATTCCAACAGCCATGCTACACAGATTCTCACCTCACTTATCACTGTGGGCACTGGACCACGATACTAAACAATGACCTAGAGCAGACAGCCATCTAATATCTGTAGGCCTAGTAGAAGTTTCCAAACCAGGGATATCAGATCAGCTAGTAAGCAGTATAAACTCACCAGTGCTGCAGCATAACGAGTCAGCTGGGAGTCTGGTGGTCTCTTCCAGAACAGCAAGGACCTGGGCACTTGCCACCCTGGGTACTTAAAAAAGCTGCCCTCCTGGTAAGAAAGAAAGAGAAGAAGTAATCTTTAGTGGACAGAACCAGTTTTACTTCTGGAGACAAGTACCTAAGGAAGTTTCAGAAGAGCTAGGACAAACATCACTACTAAATAACAGGAAAGAGGCACATGGCTTGCTCATCCCTTGGCTCTGCAGAGCAGAGGTCTTTTGCCTGGTTGATTTCTTGACATTCTGCTTACAAATACTTACAGGAAGCATCACTTGCTGCAACAGGCACTTACATTCTCCTTGTTCATAGAAGGGCTGTTGATCTCCCAATTAATTTGGTGGATGCAACCCGGGGTGCCTGGCGTGCTACACAGTACTTCGGTCTGAAATGCCAAGAGGGAAAAGTATTTACGGCAGATGAATCCAAGAGGTGCAGCTGAAGGTCCAGGTCCCCTGACTGATGTCTTACAGCCGTTCTGGCACCTGCATTTTTACACAAGGTGAATGATACCAATAAAGGAAAGGAAATACTCACCTGGAGCAATTGCGCACACTCTCTCCTTGAGTCTCTACTGGGGGGAAAAAACTTACAGTCACAGAGTCAGGTAATGGTTTATTTTGCATTACCAAAACCTCCTGAAGAGATTCTGGTAAAACACACTGGGGACTCCCCCCCCCCCCATTTTCAGTGGAAAGAACTGAGGCAAAGTCTCTTAGCAAGAAGGCCCATTACTATCTACTCCCTAGATTCAGTTGGGTGGCTGTGTTGGTCTGAAGCAATAGAACCAAGTTTGAGTCCAGTGGCACCTTTAAGACCAACAAAGTTTAATTCTGGGTATAAGCTTTCATGTGCGTGCACACTTCATCAGATACGCAGAACTAAACTTTGTTGGTCTTAAAGATGCCGCTGGACTCAAACTTTGTTCTGTTCTCTCCCTAGTTTATTTAAAGTGCACATCCATCTTTTGTAGCTCTGAGCTCAAGCTACTTGCAACCCACTTTTTATATTTCCTTTGGTTAACCTAAGGAAGGCTCAAAGCCTAACCCATTACTATCAGAATTACCACATCTGGTCCAATAGACACCCAATATGCTGGCACTGCATATACCTTGACAGGGGAGTACAAAGAATGCACTGTGCAAGCATATTGCATTGCCTTTACCCTCTGATGACCTTTACACTCTAGTGACCAAGAGACAATCAGTGAGACTGGCATATATGGAAACAATGCTCTGAACTAGGGACAAAATCTTTTAGATGTGGATGCATAAAGATCTGGACAGTGCCCAGCACTACATGGAAATATACCATGCAAATTAGCAGCAGCCCTCCAGGTTCTAATGTATCTCCAATGTGCACTTCAATTCTAAACAATTTAACTGTCACTAAGTTAAGAAACAATTGCACACAAGGGAGTCTAGGCTCTATCAGATCATTTGGTAGAAAGTAAAACAAACACAAAAGCAGTCAGCAGTATGAATTTATATTTAAAAACCCTTTCGCCAGTAAAGGGAAAAAAAAACAGAACAGGACAGAAACACTGTAATTCCCCACAAATATTTGATTGCAGAGTTCCCCCCCCCCACATGCTTGTCTTCAAACCCTGTGAAAAGGGCAACAGCTCTGGCTCTGGTGACACTCGCAAGTTACAAAGCACAGTGTGATATTCAGAAGAAACCATGATTTTGCTGCAAAAGTTCAAACACTTACATACTTTGAACAAGTTCACAGTATTCCCTAGAAACCTGGCACTCAAAGCAGAAGCCACAAAACTAAAGCCTCCCTCTCACATTTTAAAGTTCAGTGAAAATAAAAGATTAAAGTACAAGAATGCTTGGACAGAACTTACAGATTATCCTGTGGTTCTGTTGAATCCTTCTGACCTGTAATGAGAAAGGGATAAGGTCAGTAATGTTTAGAAAGTAACTTATAAGCGACTGGATGAAAGTCAAAAGATTTGCCAACACAAACAGATTCCTAAAGTGACAGGTTAGGCAGGAAGAAGAAAACAAGACTAAACACCATCTGAGTTAAAATGCTCTCTACAGTCGTAATTATACAGCAGACCTATTACTGATGGATACGCTACGCTTGCAAAAATATATTCCTGTTGTGTGATTTTACTAGGCACAAAACCCATGAAGTTAAGCTTGCCAAAGACACTACACCGCTAAAGCTAATGGACAGCATTCAGTCTGTAAATCAGAACCCTGGAACTAAGGAGTTACAGCCTGGGAGGAAAACCACCATCCGTAGGGCAGGCCATAATGGCACACTAACCTGTACACTCAAGCCACCCCCACACAGAAGCCTTGTGCACTGTTTAGTTAATGCCTTAGCATTAACCTTCAAGTCCAAGTAGTAGAAGATAGTTACTTCTCTCTTACAGTAGCACAAGGGATCCTGCGTCTCACCCCCATCAATCACATGGATGGGTGGAAACCCAACTTTGGCTGAAGGCCAGAGAACATGTGAATTGTGGGCATCAAATACATTTACTTATTCTTACGGAAAAAGGCATGGGATCACTCTGAAACTTTCTATGAAGAATAAACTTTACAGTCAGAATCTATTTATTTATGTTATTTATAGTCCACCTTTCTCATTGGGATTCAAGGCAGTGAAATCAATAGAATGAGGAGACATTTAAACAATGAAACAGGACTAGGACTGCAGAAATCTGAGACAATGCATAACTATCAACCATTACATGCTAAAGCAAGGAATACTATTACATAAGCAGAAATAGAATGCAGTGAGAGTAAAAAAATAAAGCAACAGATAATATATAATATATATTACTAGCATAGTCTACAGTCAAGTTCCCTCTATTGAAGCATCTCCTTGAATCATTCTGTTATAATGAAGCCCTATTTCCTTTATAAAATGCCCTCCTGAACAGTTCTGTTTTACATGGTTTACAGAAAACCAAACATGTGGGATCCTTCCTGACCACCTTAGGCAGGCCATTCCATTGGGGGGGGGGGCGATGACTATAGAGAATACACATGAATGGGCAGTTGTTGATCTGGCTCACTTGTAGGGTGGCACCTGTAGAAGGCCCTGTTCAGATGAGTGTTTAGGGATGCCAGCCTCCAGGTAGGACCTGGAGATTCCCTGTAATTACAGCTCACCCCAGGCTAGAGAGATTAGTTCCTCTAGAGAAAATGGATGCTTTGGATGGTGGACTCTATAGCATTGTACCCCACTGAGGTTCCTGTCCTCCCCACCCCCAAATCTCCAGGAGTTTCTCAACCTGAATCTGGCAATCTACTCCCCCCCCCCAACCAGTGGCTGGGAGGACCTGGCAACCCTAGAAGTTGTGGTGGTGGGGCATAGGAGTAGAGACAGTCCTGCAGATATGAGGGTCCAAGGCTAGGAAGGGCTTTGTTTGTGCAGGCCAGTGCCTTCAGCTGAACCAGAAGACTAGTGACAAATGAAAGGCGTGAATGCAGAATGGGTGACAGGCAAAAACCTTTCATATCTAGTTGCTCTGTCACTTCTTGCTCACTCTTTCGGTATACCTTCCTACCTCCCATGCCACGAAGAGTTCATAATATCTATAAAAGTTATGTATGTGCCAAGTCTAGAACAGTTTAAAAACAGCTCATAGAAGACTAAAATACAGATGAAACTACATTAAACAGCTGCAAAAAAGAAATACAAAGCCAATAAAATAATAGTTATTAACTATTTAGCAATCATAAAATCAGCAGCTAAAAATCATCAGTGTAAAATTAAAAACAGCATCAAGTTAGTAAAAGCCACAGCAAAGAGAACATGGATAGCCCTGTAGAATAAAAAAGCTTTAGCAAACTTTTGGGAGTGAGGGATCCTAATGAGCCTCCTTGAGTAGAGAATTCCAGTTTTGGAATGAAGAAATCTAGTCCCACATATTAACCAGCTTCACTTCAGCTAATGCCAGCACGTGCAGCAAAGGCACAAGAATATGACTCCAAAGCATAGGAAGGCTGCCACAGGTAGAGCAGCCCTTCACACACCATGGTCCCCAACTGTTTATGGCTGTAAAAACCAGGAAAGAACTTTGATTTGGGCCCAGAAACAAAACAGTTGGGGTTATTGTTATACAGGCTCTGATTAAACCAATGCAGGCACATTTTGGGCCCACTGTTTTCAGCAGTTTGTCAAAGGCATCCTTAGACACAGGCCGTTACAGTAATCTCATCTGGAAGTTACAAAGGCATGTATAATAGTTGCTAGGTCAGCTCCTTTCAGAAATGGCTGCAGCTGGTAAACCTGCCCAAGCTGGTAAAACACACTCCTGGATACCTCTGTTAGACAAATAAGACAAGTGACATCTCATGGATTTATTAGACCCATCCCATTGAAAAAAAATAAAGCCTCATAAATCTGAGTATTCTAGTTTAATGTTAAAATTTAATATTCATGTTGGGAAAGATGCCAGGCCTTATGATAAAATACTCTAAACAACTAAAGGCTAGCAGCTGGATATAGAATCAAAATTGTACTGTTGGCAGTAGCTGTTACCAGCTTCCAATGCTCTTGGAGACTGGCTAAAGTTGAAGGCAGTTTCCTCTTCCCCGTTACTGAGGTTGGACAGATCTAGACGGCGTCTTGGTGTATCCCTGTGAGAACAGAGTGACATAAATGCTTGGAGGAAAAAACACCTGAAGCTTTTATAATGCAGCATAAGACACTGAAATGGAAGACTGGTTTTCTCTGGACAACTATTGTTAGTCTTTCTGCTCTGTACCGTTAGAACGCTTCTAGGCAAGAGTACCATCCTAAACCACCGCAGCCATTTTGCCAGTTTGCAAGGATAATCATCATAGGATTGAAACCAGTCTAGAATGCCGCACCAGAGAACTGCTGTCAGTGCAACCCTAAGAATAGTTACACCCCAAGTCTATTCATTCCAGCGAATAATACAATAAAGGGTTTAACAGTGCTTAAGACTGCACAGCATATTACTTACACAGTGGTGACTTTTAGAGATAACAGGGGCTTTGTACCCCCAACTCAAATACTGTTTTGATTCCATGTGATAGCACCTATCAGCACCAGCATCTCTAGGACAGTGTTATACCATCCCAAGTCTACATACCAAACAATAATTATTATGTGTGTCTATATTAGACATGTATGCCAAAATAAAATAAGGGTGACTGTTTATCCTGTATTGACAATATTACCATAGTCGTTGCATGTGTGTACACAAGGAACCAAACAAATGCTGTTACAATACATTGTTGTATTTCAGCCTGGCTGAAATTCTTGCCCTCACGACTGAAGAGACATCCCAGTACTTCAATCTTAAGCAGAAGGATTTGCAGACTTTCATTATTACCCAGTCTTGCAAGAATAATACCGTCCTTAAAGATCACAACAGCACACATTAAAGAAATGGTTTGCAGATACAGCTTATCCTTAATCATGGGGGAAAGCGACTCTCTTAGGCAGAAACAGCACATTGCATACATGCATGAAGAGCAAGATTGGGGGAAGGGGGAAGAGTGAGGAAATACAGTGCAAGATTCCATCAGGCAAAGCCTTGCCCAAAACAGAAAGCGCTATGCAGAATTCCAGAGACATTAACAGATCACTTCATAGTTATGTTCTAGTCCACAGAGGCATCTAAGGACTCAACAGTCAGAAGACTTGATTTCAAATTTTCAAATATTTAAACCTGTTATTATTATAAGGGAAAACTGGCCTGGAATTTCTCAGTTCATACATTAAAAATAAGACCTCTGAGTCTTAAGACAGGTAATAAGTTATATACGAAGTCTCATAGCTAACTAGCTCAAACCTTATTTGTTTGTTTACTTACTTCATTTATAGTCCACATTTCTTGCTGAGACCCAAGGAGTCTCCAAACTCCATAACTAAAAAACAATGCAGTAACTAAGATATAACTGAAGGAGCAGAAAACCTTAGTAGCTGGGTATGTTGTTATAGAACACCTTTCTGCTTGCGCAACTGGAATACATTTCATGATCAATTAGGTCACCCTCATCCACAAACAAATTCACTAAAAGAAATGGAGATTAGATTTCTAACTCTAGATCTCTCTTGTTAGTAGCCACCCGGAGAAGTTGAGAACATTTAAGACATAGAACGTGACTCAAGGTCACGTTCAGAGTCCCAAGAGATTTACCCTGCTAAAGCGCCGACGTTTCTGAAACCTTGAGTCAAGTTGGACACTGGAGTAAGAGGTGGTTCTGGAGTGAAGGGTAGGGAGATTTCGGTATCCCGGAGCAAATTAAGCAAAAGTTCGCAGCTAGATCGGAACTGGAAACGCAAACGAGGAACATCTGTCTCCACGGGGGGGAAATTCGTAGACATGATGGCGCACGATATCTTCCACCAACCGGCCGTCCGCGGAGAAAACAATAACGCTAAACCAAATTCAGTTCGGTAGATGATGCAGTACCGGATCCTCTTCCTCTGTATTAAAAGCACAGCCAAAATTTACAGCACGAAGCAGTGGCAGTCTCCTGACAACGGAACCGGCTCGCTCGTTCAAAAGCCTCCCTAGGCGAAATTCCCCGGGTTGCTCGTCGTCCTGCTAATCACCATCCCCGGCCACCACCCCCTGCCCCGGCTTCCACCGAACTCTCCCACGGGCTGGGCGGACTTAAAAATCAACAGAATTCTGGGAGTTTAAATTTACCGGTCTACTGTCGACCAAACACCTCCTTCTTTACCAACCAACCAATTATCAAAGCACGGAGGGGTGGGGGGAGAGAAGAAACCGGCAATCTGTCCAATAGCTTTTTAATTGGCTATCATTCGCTTATACGTCAATGGGAAGAGACAGCATCTATTGGGGAATGATGTAGGGGGCGGGTCTTCTTGAATCACATTTTGTTATTGTTCGACAACTGTAACGAGGTTTCTGTTCTTCTTTGTGCTCTTCATGCAGCCAATCGCTGGCCCAGAATCATCCTTCTCCCATCCCCCTCTAATTGTGTTACTAGCCTGTTAGAAACCTGCCCTTTCTCCCTGCTGGAGGGAGATTTAAACCGTGGGAAGCTGATGCTCTAAGCTTCTGCAGGCGGATTGCTTGTTTTGACGTAAACTAGCCGATTGGGAGTCAGATGCAGGGCGGCTGGGTTCCTTTGACAAACAGGTGCCAGACCTTGGGCTGTGGAGGGAAGGAAGAGCTTTAGAGGGTTCTTCTGTGGACTAGAGAATAGTTGCAAGCAGTGTTCCCTCTAAGCTGAGTTAGTGTGAGCTAGCTCACAGTTTCTTAGCCTCTGGCTCACATGTTTTTGTCTTAGCTCAGAAAGGATGGCTCAAGAGCAAACTAATTTATGCAGTAGCCAAATTGTTTGCTCACAACTTTAATGCCAGTAGCTCACAAAGTGGAATCTTTGCTCACAGGACTTCACAGCTTAGAGGGAACATTGGTTGCAAGTGGTTTCCTTCTTTCCCATACGAGTGCTACTCGGATAGCAGGAAAGATACTAAAGAGGCACAGACCAAGTTAAAACTTCCTTGTTTTAGTACACTTTTATAATGAGTGTTCTTTTGCTTGGGGAGTCTGACCAGTCAAAGGTTTAATGCTTGCGCTCTAGATATTATGTAATTGTACCTGTGTGTTTTTTTCCTCCCTCGGGGTTCAAAGCTTATATATTTTCTGAGTTAGTATTCTGGATATAAGCCCCATTTTACTTTGCTTGGAAACATGGCTTCATGTTTCAGGTATAAACTTGCAGGCTTTTACTAGTTTTGCATTGTTATTGAGTGGGATAAAATGGATAAAGAATAATGGCTGGAAGCTATTATTAATTGGTTGTCTTACAGTAGTTTTATGACTAAAGTCTATTTCTTACCTGCTGGAGACCTCTTATGTGGTAGGTAAACCAACTATTTGGGGAGAACTCAAACTCTGTTCATTTGAACAGCTGGCAACAGTTTCAGGTGTTTGTAACATGAACATCTTTCTTGTAATTTGCCCTCAGTTCTCTGCTTTATGGTTCTTTCGGTTACAACCATGGAGGACTTGCTGCTGGGTTATCACCACTGTTTGAAAGAAATGGGTAGGTAAAACAAGTTAGAATGAGACGAGGAACATGAATGTGGGGAGGAGGGGACTTAAAAAATGGTGAAGAAACTTTCCCTGTGTACTGACAAAAATGAGCCACGTGACTTTGATACTAGAGTTACCCATTTCATCTTGAGAAATTTCTGAAGATTTTTTTTGGGGGGTGGGGGGGAACTTAGTGGGAATTTGATGCCTTAGAGTCCACCCCCAAAGCTTTCTAAGTGCATACACTGTAATGTGAGAAGAAACAGGTAACCCTGTATTTGGAAATGCATTATACCATGACGGGCATAAGGTATTTAATAAAGAATGATAGCAAGTATTCTTTAAGACATTGGAAAATGATTCATGCTTTTCCCACTATGATGACACCTCTTTGTTTTTGATGGTCTTGAATTACCCTGGTGTAATGGTAGTAGATTACCCCCTCCCCAAGGACCATTGTGTTTCTACAGAATGGGAGAGAGGCCCAGTAAGGAACCCACCCTGTACATGGGTAGGGGTTGGGGGAAGATGATGGGAGCAACTTGAACCTCCACTATAACTGCCTGCCACAGAGAACTATAATCCCAAAAGAAAAATATATGGAACAGCTGACCTTTATAGGGTTCTTCTTTCACAGTTTCTCTCTCTTTATGGTATGTAGATCATTTTTTGTTATAACTGAACCACTGCATGCACAGGGAATATTCCACTCTGTTATGGAATATCTATCTGAACTTCATAATTTACTGTCTGCTATAAAGTGAATGGCTTTCATTGGCAGAGTCCACAATCAAAGATGGGAATTATGTGGTACAAACTTGTGAATTTGCCCAAATGTTGATGACTCCTGTGTTGAGAGGTAAATTTTCTCCCCACTAAGGAGAAAAGCAAAGTATAAACATGTACTTTTTTGTTCTAATAGTAATTCCGTAAAGATCCTCTAACAGAAAGAATGGCTCCCATTAACATCTCTGGAGCATTTATTGATTGTGCCTTGTGCCTCCACAAAAGGGGAAGGCATACTGCACCAGAAGCCTGAGATAATGAAAGGGTGATAAGAGGCAACACACTTGAGAAAAATGAAGATAGGTATCATGCTGTCATATCAGGTGCTTTAGCTTATAGGCAGATTTTCTCTAAGCCTTTTCTTTTGGTGTGTATTAACTGGGAGAACGGGCATAATGGCAAGCATTTGCCTGTAAGTGGTCTGTAGCATCCATTTGTTGCTGCAAATTTATGAGTCCCTTGAACACATGAGACAAAGGATTTTGCTTCTACAAGTAAACTGCAAAAACAATTAAAAGTTAGGTTAAATGAGGGGATACATTTCACAGTGAATCGTAACCAGATCAAATCAAGTTATCTGGGCCCATGTTATTAATTCTGTGTTTTCCTTCTCTCCCCACTCTGGGACATTATTCTACACTACAATATAAGATTCTGTAGTAATGTGCAACCCCTGGGTCCCTCACACTGACAGCGATTTGCATAAAAGCACAATAGCATGAGGGAGCCCTATACAAGATTTGAAGTGTACCTATGTCTTCTCTCAGGAGAGTAGCCAAGAGCCTGCTGAGAGACTTGATAATTAATGACTTCATTGTGGGAAAACAAAGAAGGCATGTTGAGTGGAATGAGATACTTGACTTCAAAGATTTTTAATTTGGACTGAAGACTCTGTTTTCCATCAGACAATGAAGGCACGCAAACATGTAGTCCTTGCAATGTGATATAGAATGCAGCATTTCTTTTTTATTTGTCTTGCATTAGAACACCTATAGCACATTAGAGACCAACAAGATTTTCTTGGGTATGAGCTTCCAAGAGTCAAAGCTCCCTTCATCAAAACGAGCTTCAACTCTCTGTAGCTTATACCTAAAAAATCTTGGTCTCTAAGGGCCTACTGAACTCGAAACTATCCATGGTTGCCCTCTGAAATTATCCTGCATTGTTATCTTGTATATTTAAAGGCAAGAGGAGCTCAGTATTTCAGCTGGCATAAAATAAAAATTTGATTTCAATGTTTCATGGATATTAGGTTAAGTACCACGTGTTTTGATCTTGAACTGGACCTTAAACTGCCTTGCTGTTGAGTTCCAGTTGTTAGTCCCTTAGAGGAAAAATCTTTTGCACTTCTTAGGTTTATTCAAATGATTCCATTCAGTTATTTGTTCCTGAGGAATAAAAACTATTTGTATATTGCAACATCTGTTTTAGCAGTTTGTGCTCTGTGATCTCGTCCAAAGCTCTAGATTGAAAAACATACACGCACACACAAAGAAAAAACAAAACAACAAAAACCAGGGGAAAAAACCCTTAAAGTTATGCTTCTCTTTATTTAAGAATTACCATATATTAGCCTGTAAGGATAATAAAAGATGCTAAGATGGGGATTGTACGATCTTACTATAGGCGTCAGATAGGTTTGCATGTTGTTCACTAATCAAAACCTTATTTTCTTTTTTTTATATATAGTTTTTTTATTATTTCCCTTATTTTCTTGTGAATAGGTCAGTGTCATCATCCCAGGCCTTATATCTTGAAAGGCAGATGGTCAGTGTGGGTGTGGGCACAAGGTCATATAGGCCAAGAAGATCTTGCCCAGGATTCAGGTGAGCTTTCTGGGGGCAGCTGCTTGGTTGATCAATAGCTTGCCTTTCTGTTGTCTTCAGCATTCTCTGTCTTCTGCAGATCTGATGAAGAGACGGATGAGGCCGTCTTGCTAAGGAGACAGAAGCAGATAGACTATGGCAAAAACACCATTGGTTACCAACACTTTGTCCAACAAGTCCCCAAGTAAGGGATACCTGCTTCTTCCCTCCTAGGTTTTCATCTAGAGGCAGGCTCTTCACATAGAATTCATCCAATCTGTGCTGATTAGACACTTCTCTAATCACACCCCAAGATTTCGGGTATCTAGCATGTTCATTTTGGCTTGTCTTGATGAGCCATCAGGGAAAAGTCTACCTGGGTCCTTATTTGGGGGAATCTTAATATTGGCTAAAGGCCGCTTGAGTAGCAGAACCTGATACATCTTTTGTGCTTCATTCCAGAGCTTCTCGGCAGTCAGATGTTCACCCACGTACTCCAAATAAACATAAGAAGTACAGTCGTCGTTCCTGGGACATGCAGATTAAGTTGTGGCGACGGGCACTGCATGCCTGGGACCCCCCTGGGCTGAATGCAGAAGTACCCGAGAGGGAAGTGTTTGTCAGTTTTTCTTGGCTTCTTCCGACCAACTTGAAGGGAGAATATTTTGCACTGGAGTAGGAAGAAAGGGTAGGGACACAACTGTGGGACATGTATCCTCATAACCTAGTCCAGTTTTCTCCCCAAACATTCTGCTATGGTGAACAAATCCACTTGTTTCAAGATGCACCTTTAATCTTGGTTCTATATTAAGTAGTACCTTATTGTGTAACATCCACTGCCAGTAGCTTGGTGACCCATTTATGAAGTAATCATGAGACATGGTTCAGGAATCACAGGCCTAGTCTACATATGCTTTTCTCCATGACACTCCTTATCACCATGGAGACACAGTTAATTGTCAACAGAGGTATCTCTCTTCAGTGAGAGCAAATGGTTCCTTTACCCATTGGAGCTTGGGAATACTTTGTAATCAGTGACATGTGAGTACCTAAAGTGGGTAGTTTGGTGTAGTTATCTTCTACATGAAAAGGAAGCCGAGATGCAGGTATGCTATAGAAGGAACGTATAAATAACTTCCAGCTGTTCTGAACTGAAGTTAATTGGGTCCCTAATGAACCTCCCAGAGAGTGAAAGATTTGAGCTTGCAGTGCTATACTACCCATACAGCTCTCATGGTGTATTTCATGGTTTCCCTCTTGGATATAAAACTAATACTATCTATTTCCTGATTCAATTTGAATGAAACTGTTCTTGGTTTGCAAAGGCAGGAGCTGGTAATTGAGAGGGGCCCTCTCCTTGTCTCAAATGGCTGCTTTGGTACCCAAGAGATGCTAGAAAACCCATATGAAGAAGCCTTAAGAGGACAGGTATTTGGACTCCGCTTGTGTGACATAAGCAATGGCTAGCAGCAGGAGTAACTTGTCATTGTTTTGATCTGTTAAAAAATGTGTCCTCACTATTTTGCATGCTAATTTAACAAACCACTCCTTTATATACAACTATGATACATAATTCCATTTCATCATCTGACGGTGTGTGCATGCACACGAAAACTCATACCTTGAATAAAACTTTGTTAGTCTTAAAGGTGCCATTGGACTCTAACTTCGTTCTAATGCTCCTTAACATTCTCTGCTGATTTTGTAATAGTTCAGATGACTAGAAGATTTCAATTTATAACCAAAATTACATATAGGTGTGTGTGTTGTGTGCATGTGCTAAGCTCTGGGAGTGCTAGACCCTTCATGAGACCAGATATCCCATTGGAATTGCTATTATGGAGGGACTGAAAGAAAGCCTCCTTGCTTTGAGGTCAGTTACTAGAAGAACTAACTTAAGACAATTTCTTTCATGCACTGTTTTTTGTGTTTTTTTTAGGTTGTTAGATTGTCAGCTTCTCGTCACTTTGTTCCATGGCTGCCTGAGAATGATCACTCCAATGGGGGGAACTTTGTTGAACACAGAGAAGACTGTTCCCTCTGTCCTGAGTGTAGATGTCATGTCCTGAGAATATGGCGGAGCTTGACACCCTTGAGAAGGCATTGTTTAAATGAGGGAAATACCTGAGACAGGCACGAGCCTTTCATGTCTCTACCCTGCTTGTGCACCTTCCCAGTTATTTTGCTGTGACATCCCTAAGATTGTAGGGGATCTAGCCTATCTCTACAGCTGTCCTGGTACTCAGCTTCTCTTTGTCCAGTCTTCATATACATTGAGTCAATACATGATTAACTACTTCGTGTATCTTTGGTCACATTTCTATTATATGGGTGTGGCTTGGGTGGAAGGACAGTGGTGACTATTATGACTATTATGGAAGTCAAACAGTTCCTGAGTGTGGTTTGAGCAATAAGAGGGTAAACATTGTCCCTGAACTGCTTTGGGAAACAAGAGCATCCCTGCCTACCACTTCGTCTCGATTAAAAACAGTTGATAAAAAGCTTTATTGTATTATTGTATTTTGATTGCTTGATTGACTGGGGATATTAACACTCATGGGTGTAAGTTTCAGGGTGTTGGAAGAAAGGGGGATAAGAAACAAGGCTTGTGGCTATTCCATCAAATACACTTCTTGTTCAAAAATAAAAGTTGTAGTAGTCAAGGAAGGGTGATTGCATAACTGTACATTTACTTGTGATTAAGCATGAAGTGCCCAATGTCAAAGTAGGAGGTGCCTAGCCCTTCAAAGCTGGCCTTAAGGGCTACACTCAGGCTTTCCTAGCTAGCATTTCCTACAATGTATTCCACTCTATATCCATGTGTTTTAAAGTGAAGCATTGGCAAGTTAGAGAAACAAAGAGGAATAGGTTTAATTGCTTTCCTGCAGTTGGAGTACATGGAGCTAAGGAGCTTTAGTATAACTTTGCCACCGGTTGCTCATTCTTGTCTCAGATAGGTACCTAAATGGTTCTTGCTTTGTGCAAAAAAAACAGCTGAGGCTCAAAGCTAAGCTCCCTGAGTGTGTAAGTTTTACTTCAGATATCTAAAAGCTACTTAATAAAGAGAGGCACGGGGGGGGGACTCAATACAAATGTATTGTCCCACTGAACATGGCTGAGTCTTGCTCCCGAAAGCATAGCTTGTGACCGCATCTGGCTCAAATTAAGTACCCTACGGAGTTAGAAAATGCTTCTTGGCCGCAGAAGTAAGGGCCAGGGGTGGGGGGTGGGGTGGAAGAGACACAAATACCATTCTCCAGGAGAGCAACGTCGAACTACATCTCCCATCATGCTTTGCTACGTGGTATGGGCCATAGAAGGGGAGAAAAAGAGTATGGTGTTGAGGCAGGATCCAGAATCGTGGGAAGATCGGCCGTTATGCTGCACCAAGGGGGAGCGTGGGTTGGGGTGGATCTACAGATGTCCGGCTGCCTTTCTCAAATGGTCCCGTAGGTTCTTTCTGCGCTACCTGATGTCCCCCCCTTTTTTGTGTGGGTGGTTTGGGCTCAGCGGGTCGGTCCACTCCCGAGTGAAGGGGGGGAGCAGAGGCTCCTGCGGGGGGTGGTGGGGCTGGGAGCCCGGGCCGCCGGGGCAGAGGAGGACGACGGTGGTGGGTGGTGGGGCTAGAGCCCGGGAACCTCCTCCTTGGCGGATGGTCGGTCCCGGGGGTGTTTAGCAGTGAAGGTGCGGGGGGGGGGGGGCTGGCAAAAGCGCGCGCGGGGGGGGGTGTGGGGGTTGCTGAAATATTTGGGGGGTGTATTACGGATTTCGGTGGTGCCAGCAGCGGTGGTTTTCTGGCATCTTCTGGGGGGGGGGTGTCTTTGTGATATGTCTATAGAAGGTATTTAATGTAAGGTAAAGGAGATTATAAAGCTAGGGCTGTTTTGTTTATGAGGGTTTAAATTGACTGGCTTGAAGGGGGTAATGTTGGGGTTTCCAGACAGGATGTCGCTTTGGTAGTGCGCTCTTGTGTGTGAATGCATCTGTGTGAGAATTTGGGGTGGAATGGAGGGCCTTCCTTGGGAAGTGGGAAAGTGGCTCCCTCAGTGGAGGATGGGATAGCTATGCTTTGTTAAGTATTGCGTCCCCTGTGGATGCATTCCTAAAACTAGGTTGTTGGGACCCATTCTTAAAACGCAGTTTAATCTCCCTGCATGGCAAAATCATGTCATGGAGGCTTGCACTGTGCGTCTGGCAACGCGGCTGGAGGTTTTTCCCGGTTGCTTCAAGCCTGCCTGTATTTTTGTGTTTGGCAAATGGGTAACTTGAGACGAAGGAATCGAGTATTTGTGAAATCCTGTAAGTTTGGAGAGGAAGGCTTCCTTTTGAAATGATCTGAACTTGTTTCAAAAGCCATCGGGTCAAGGGGTTTGATTTAGCTGGGCTTTCTAAAGGGCTGTGGCCTGAAGCTGTTAAAGAAAGTAGGAGTGGAACGAGATGCAAAGTACTGTAACCAGTTGCCTAAGGGCAGGAAACAAAGGGCAAGCATAATTTAGTAACATGCCTGCTAGTGAAGAATAACCACAAGGTATTTGGCATATTAGATGAGGCTTTGTGTAACTATTTCTGTGGATTTCTCCCCTATCCTCAGGGCTTAGGGTGAGTTACGGTTACATCTTTTATCTCATTTTATCCTCTCAACAGTCCTGCCAGGGTGTAGTGAAGGAGATAGTACTTATCCAAGGCCACCCAAGAAGCTTCATGACTAAGCATGGGTTTGAATTTCAGTCTTTCAGATCTAAATCCAGTACTCTGTATCAGATGAAAAATTAATCAGGATTATAGTTCTGGGGAATATGGGAGATGGTTGATAGTAGAAGCTGTCTAGATTAGTCTAGAGAATCCAAAATGTAGGTATGTAAAATGAACAGCCGATGAAAGATTAATGGTTGGTCACTCATGGAAGTAGAAAATCTATTTCTATGCTGACTAGATTAATGATAAGAATGTAAGGAAACTACCTGGGCATCCTTGTGGGTATCTTTGTAAAGCTGTAGTTTTTGTTTACCAGAGGAGGGATTATAGATACTGTCAATGTGCATGGCACTTTATAGAATTTCATAAACAAAAAAAGCCAGGTCCCTGCCCTTAAGGAGTGTACAATCTATAACAAACAGTGGAGAGAGGGAGACAGATGTAGGAGAGGATGAATATGAGCAATCTTATTTCAGTTTGTTACATGACTCTCAAATGGCTTTTCTTTTTCTCTCTCTTTGTACAATATTGCTATACTTGGAATGTTTATCATTTCAATATTTCAATATTTTTATTTAAACTGGTAACATTAATAAAGCTGTGGGTTGCTTAGTCCCCCCCCTGTAGTAAATTGCCAGTTCCTTTCACCTCAAATAAATGCAACTTGGGTCTTTGTGAGCTCTCTTTTCTCTTCTCCCTCCCCCTCCCCCAGGATACCTTGTTCTACTAATTTTCTCAGGCCTTGCCTGATTGCAGGCTTTCCCCTGTAGTCTCAGGACAGTTCCTCTTGTGACTGTTTGTGAATGCAAAAGTCACTCCTGAATGTGTATTTACGTAGAAAAATAATACTTGGGCAAGATTTGCTAATAGAATGTTGAATTTCAGAAGATGGATGACACTAGTAAAGGCAGATATTATAAGACTCTTTAAAACATTATATATATTTAGGGGTAGGAAGGATTCCTCAACCTACAAACACGGTAGTCAGTGTCTGACTTGGATTTTAAAATCCTGGGTTCAAAATCAGCTTTTTAGCCAGACTTTCTGGGTGGTCTTGAATAAGTCAAGATTTCTTTGACTAAATTACGTATTTGTAAAATAGAAACCATAGTTACCTACTTTCAAGAATTCTTCTGGGGATAGACTTCATTAAGAACTGCAGTATCAGATGAAGTATTCTGATACATTAATTACTAAATGAATTATTATTCCTATTAATTTGTCTTCCCAAAGTTAAGAATCAGCACTATTAGTAGGCTGCCTTTATATTCTCTCTCTCTCTTCCCCTCCCTCCCTCTCTTTCTCTTTTAACTTTAGTGAAGGTTTTGGCTAAGAAAAACACACCTTGGCACTATTCATAAATCCTTAGTGAAAGCAGTACAGGAGGTATTCTGACTTGTACAAGAAAATGTTAATAAAAAGGGCAGATTAACAATTTTTGAGAAGATGCCTTGGAATCTCAGACCTTTGAAGTAGAATTTTATGGGTGATAAATATCCATTGCTGTTAAAGTTGTGGACAGTCTGATGCTGAGATTTTGTGCAGATCAAGAGAGGCTTCAAGCCTGGATAAAAGTGGAAATGTCAAATAATCAAGAAAATCATCAATCATAGTGGATCTTGCGATTTCCTCTGGAGTCTTGAATGCTGGCCAGCTGGAAATCAGAGATTATGGGCCATGGTTCTGATTCAGAGTCACAATATTTTATGCTTTCTTATCTGGGGACATTGTATCTTAATAATTAAAGGCCCAGACTTCAGTGTGTTTGCAGTCCTCACAGACTACAGAAAACCAGTATTAAATAAGGCTTTAGTACTTAAGTGCTTTTGATGTGCATGGGCCACAGCTGAAAAAGCATCTGAGGGGATACAGTTCAGACTGGAAGACAAGTGGGCTGTCTTTAGAATGTAATGAAAAAAGCAAAGGGAGCAGAATGCTATGAAAGTTCGCAGAGGTTGAAGAGGAGTTCTTTGTTTTCCATGGCACTCAAATGCTGGTGCTTTCCCCCTTGGTGCTAGCACTTTCTTTTCTCATTGTGCATGTGAAGAAGCCTTTTCTTGGATTGAATCTTTATGAATTTAACCATTTACAGTAGAATGGCCCTCATGAGCCAAACTCTGTTCCCTGGGATATTAAAGGGAAGGAGGCACTAGACTAGACCTTAGTAGGAATAGGATGGTACAGGTGGGAATGTTGTCCTGATTCTTTGGCCTGTACCCTCAGAAAGCAATCATAGGGCTGGAGCTTGAAGGGACTTCTGAAATAAAATAGGTAAGCAACATGCTGAAAGTGAGAGTTAAAGAACTGGTGTGATGGATGGAGTGTTGAGCCTGGATTCGAATCTCCATATACTTACAAAGCTCACTGGATGACACTGGGCCAGTTTATCATCTCTCCACCCTAATCTACTTCACAGAATTGTTAAGGTGATAAAATGGGGCAGAGATGGTGGAAGACTATACTGCTTGGATTCACTAGGAATAAGGCCTCTGAGATGAGTAGGAACATCTGTGAGCTTGTAGAAGGGGACTTGGATTATCAAGTTATGGGAGAAAGAATCTGATGCTGAGCCTAATGTATACTAAAGACTTAACGTTATTTAACTTTTGCTCTATCATTGCCCAGGGAATTTTAATTGGGAAGACATAGTGCAAAATAAGCTATGTTGGCTTCCCAGACTTTAGTGTTGCAAATGTGGGTAACATAAGAAAGCTAGCTCAGTATATTTCTGTTTTTGAGCTTCAAATCTAGAGAAGCCTAGGTGGCAGGGAGTGTGGTATGCCACATATTAAAATGCCTGTGTGTTGCAGGGTCCCTGAGGATGTCGTGGAACATGGCTCGCTTGTGATGAAGACAACAGTTTAGTAGGTGTGGCAGCTGATGATAATGATGATGCTTGAACACGGCTGGACTTGCTGAGGGAGGCAGAAGGGTGGCAGGAGACAGAAGCTGGAGTCACAAGGGTTTCTGGTACCAGGCCTCCATGATAAGAAACCATGATCACCCTGATTACTGAACAGCTACAGAAACAGAGCCTGGAGGAATTGAAATGCACATCCTTCAGCATCAGCCTGGTAAGATTGCCCTGACCTGGCATTGAAAGTTAGGGTAGTGTTAAAAGTAACTTCAAGTTTCTCTTCAGCTTTAGATCTCTATTTTGGTTGATGGAAGAGTGGTATTGTGTTATAAGCTGCTCTTAACTTAGGCCAGGATCCAGCAAACCATTAACTAAATTTTAGAACTTTTCTTTCTTGAGCAGTCTCTGCCCATACGTGCCAGTGCTCTAGGGTAAACTGCTGTTTGAAACTGAGTAGAAATTCAAAAGCAGCTTATGGAATGGGGAGTCCATTGTTGAAAGAACTTAAAACAAACAAACAAAAACATCCCCTCAAACGCTAGGCTAGTGCAAGCTCCTGGCTCACTGAGTATCAGTCTGTGCCTTGGAAAAGCTGAAATTATCTCTCAGAAATGCGATCAGCACTTTTGCAGAAGATGTCTGTATTTTCTGTGACAGTTATGGGCAATCTATTTGATAGCACTCACAACACATAATTGTCTTTTATCCATCCCCCTTTTCCTCTGTCTCCCTGTGGCCAGAATAGATTTAGAACTTTTTTTAAAAAATCATCACATTAAAGGATGGAGGTATGCCAGTACATTCAAGTAGCTCTTTAAGAAAAAGTAAGCAAAAAACTCTCAATGCAAGACTACCTGCTCCCCTCAGCAATGCCCTGCAATACAATGACACTTCCTTTCCCTCAGGGAAGAAATTGAGTAGACTATTGGTTGCTTCTTCTTTTTTGTCAAAATACATTTTATTGTGATATACGTCTGATTAAAGTACTGAAATTCATCAAGATATAGAAATAAATGTTACAGAAATGATCAAATATTTAGATTTAATACTATTTAAAGAACTGGTTGAAAAATGTGCCTCATAAAGTACTGTGGCAAAGAAATAACTTGTCCTACAGAGCAAAAAAATAAAAATCATGTATATAATCTTTAAAGTCATTTACCAGAGGTTTAAATACTCAGCCAGTCTAGGAATCACATTTTGAGAGGTAAGAAAGTCAAGAATAGGTAGTCATAAAATTAGATTGTGAAGTGGGATGCTCAAGAATATAGATATTGTCTGTTATTTTGGCCATTATGTAATAGCTCCATAGTTGTTGGTACCAGAGGGGATAATGAAGGAACAGATGCATTCTTCCAGGTGGATGCTATAACACCCTTAGTAGCTGACAGGACAAAAGAGACCATATCAGCTTTATAAGGCATACACCTATTTGTTGCCTATTGGTTGCTTCTGATTAGGGAAAGCAGGTACAATTTAGAATTAGGGAGCACAGGAGGTCTCTCCCCTCTTCCTGTTCCCACCATTACACTGGATGTTTATCAAGCTGCTGAATCTTGATCAGGACTAGTGCTGTAGTACTGGTAACACTGGAGCAGATCTTTTTCAGAAACAATAATCTGGAGGCTGCCTAAGAGTAGAGATGCCACTCGAGACAAATCACAATTTATGGAATTCATCACCATGTGGTGCTGTCAAACTAAGATGAATGGATAGAAGGCAGACCTACAGTTGGTTAGGAGCCACAGTAGGCAGAAGTACAGCATATATATTTAGAGATGCTTTGGTATGTCTGATTGCAGAGTGCTTAGGACATACGGAAAAAGATCTTTCCATCATGTTCTGCTTCTGAACTTCCTTGTATCATCTATGCTGGCTACTGTCAAAAGTGAAAGTTCTGAGCCAGATCATGGATCATTGCTTTGATCCAATGAGGCAGTTCTTTATGTTGTAGTAGTAGAGGGAAGCAGGTTAGGAGCTAGTAGAAGAAGAATAAAGGATTGTGGGTATATCTAGGGTGATGGTAGATGGAAGGCTTCAGGTAGTAAGTAAAACTGAAATTTGACTTATTTGATCATATAAACAGACCATGATATTAGCAGGTGCTTAGCCTGAGGCAGTAGCTTGTATAATCGTATTTTGCTACTAGGAAAGCCAGATTTCATAACTGGAATAAATGAGACACATGAGAAAATGCTGCATACATTTACTTCAGCCACGTAAATAATTGGGCGGAGGGGGGGGCTGTCTGCTGCTTTGTTCTCTTCTGCTGCTGCTGCCACTCCTTCCACCCCTGCTGCTTCCTCCCTTTTAGTGTTTTGTTATGAAAGAGTTAAGAGCCCCACTTGTGTAGTCTCCATAGTTTGGCAGTGTGTTCAGCAAACATTTTGTTTGTGCTGTGGAGGCTGCAGATGTCTGCAGATGTCATCAAAGGAGTAATTGCTCCAGTGCTAAAAGAGAGAGCATTGTGTATGCAGTCTTCATGGCAGAGTTATAGAGTTTGGGTATATGGCCTTCTCTGTCTTCTAGTGTTAAAAGGAGTAAGAGATACATTCAGCTATATGTGCTAAACACAGCACTGGGCTGCTTAGCTTGTTAACTGTGCACCTAACTTAGGAGCAGTTTGCGTCTTGGGTGCTCAGCTGCTTCCTGTGGGTGAATGACAAATTGTATAACTGACTTGCTTAACTCTTGTTGCTTAACATGTTTGGGAAATGCTTTTGACAGAATCTGGAAAACATTTTGTTTTGTTTTTGTCACAGAACAGGGAGGCAGTTTTGGATCTGCAAGAAAATGAGTCACAAAATTTAGAGAAAGAAGAATGGATTTAGAGAAAGAAGAATGGATTTGGCACCATAAGGAGAAAATGGCGCCTTTGCTATCTAAAGATAGCTATCTAAAGATATCTTGCTAACTACTCTTTGGATAGGAAACCATACTTTGTCAAGGTGTTTGTCAAAGCCTGCCTATACACTTCCATTTCCCCCCACAACCATGGGGTCAAGAAATTAGCTATTTAGTTATTGTTTTACTGTGCTGGTCATGAAATGGCCGATCTGTGATGTAGACAAATAGGGTTAGGGGAAAAGCAAGCATGGTCTAACAGTATACACACATGTGGACTACAGAAGTATCATGGATGCATGTTGTAGCCCTGCAGTAGCATGTCCCACATGCACATGTGCCCAAGTTAGCAGACCTATGGCTGGACTGTTCCTTCTCAGAACAGAAAAGGGGCAGAATGGCTTTTACCATTGTGATATTGAGATTAGAGAAGCCATTTTGCTAGAGAAAGAGAGGGGGAGGAAAGTGTGTATGTGTTAGATGGGGGAATCTACAAAATATTAATATATTTCTTTGCTGTTCAGAATATTATTCGAGTTTGCACTTGCAGTGGATATAATCAAGGAGAGCAGGGAAAGACTTTGATTTCCTGTCTTCCAGGCTCCAGATTCTTTCCTTTAGCTGTCATACCAACTTCCTTGTTTAAAGAGTCTAGAATAACTCTGTATTTTTCCAAGTCTCTCACTAATATCTAGCTTGAGTGCAAGTGTTCTATCTGCCTTGTCTCCTAGCCACCTATATTAAATCTAAAGTGTTTCTGTATCTATGATTTTTGGATCTGTTCTCTGGTCAAGGTCAGAATCAGTAGTAAAAAAGGAACAACCTAGATACATTGGCCTTAATTGGAAACCAATTTACTCATATGGCAAAATTTAATTTTAAAGAGAATGAACCAGAGGACTATGAAGCATGTACACTCTAATTGTTTTTGGTCTGGAGTCCATCTTGATTCTGTAGCAGCAGTGTTGTTTTGCCTGGAAACTAGTTAAAACAGCAAAGTAGCATTAAAAGTGCAGCTGGGAACAGAATTCACATTCACCTTTTCATACAGGGGTTTGTCTGAGCAGACGAAGCTCTGCGTTAGGGAGCCTGATGGTCCTTGGAGTTTAAAATCGCTTCACTTCAGCCTTATGCACTTTAACTTTCTGGATAATGCTAGGAGACAAATTGTATCATCAGCATTTTGGAAGACTTTCCAGTCTAGTTTCAAGCCTGAATATGGGAGATAACCTGCACTGGGAGATGGACAGTGGGACTGTGGCCCTATTGATCCTCCTGGATCTTTCAGTGGCTTTCGATACCATTGGTCATAGTATCCTTCTGGATGGGAGGCACTGTTTTGTCGTGGTTTCAGTCCTACCTTGAGGGTAGGTATCAGAAGGTAGTGCTAGATTAATGCTGCTTGGCTCCTTGGCCTTTGGCTTATGGAGTACAACAGGGTTCCATCTTACCTACTGTGCTCTTTTTCGTCTATATGAAGACACTAGGTGAGGTCATCCAGAGGTTTTGGCTGAGTTGCCCCCAATATGTAGATGACATCCACCTCTCATGCTTCCAGCTGATCCCAGGGAGGTTGAGGAACTGTGAAATGGTGCCTGGTGGCAGTTTTGGAATGGATATGAGCTAATAAGCTGAAGCTTAACTGAAAAGGGTGGAAATTACTGGTGGGTGGAAGGACCAATCCAGGATTTGATGTGCCTCTTGCTATGGATGGGATTGCACTCCCGCTGAAGGAGTAGGTCCATAGGGTGATGGTGCTGTTGGACCCAAGCATGCTGGTGGATAAGCTGGTGGTCTTCATGCTTAGGAGTGCCTTTTACCAGCTTCAGCTAGTTAACCACCTGTGAACTTTCCTGGGCAGAAAAGATCTTGCCGGTGTGATGCATGCTTTGGTAACATTTATATTAGGTTACTGCAGTTATTAAAATGCACTCTACATGGGCTGCCTTTGAAAAGTCTTTGGAAGCTTCAGTTAGCATAAACCCCTGTAGCTAGGATGCTGACTGGAATGGGACATAGGGACCATATCACTTCAGTCGTGGTCCTTATGCACTGGCTCTCAGTCCCCCGTCCCCCCCAGTCCCAATCCAAGATGTTGATTTTGACCTTTAAAGCTGTATACAGTCTGGGACCAACATAATTTGTTGTTAGCCATTCTGTCATATCCAACTCTTGGCAACTCTATGGGCCAGCTTTCTCCATGTTTTCCGATCTTGTACTGTTTCTTTGAATTGTTCCATGCTCAGGCTGGTGTCGACTTTTATGGTGTCTAGCCACCATGTTCTTTGGTGGCCCAGTTTCTTTTTGCCACTAACCAATCCAAGCATAATTGCTTTTTCTAGTAATTCTTCCACATGACATGGCTGAAAGAAGTCAGTTGCTGTTTTATGATTTTTCCTTCCAATGACATGTCTGGCTTTATGTGCTCCAATACTTGCTTGTTTGTCACCTTTGCTGTCCAAGGAATGTGCAGGACAGCATTCTTTAAGGACCACCTATTTCTATGTGACCTGACAGCTGTGGTCATCCTTTGAGGCCTTGCTTTGGGTGCTCCCACGTTCTGAGGGTAGACAGTTAGCACCTCAGAAAGGGCCTTCTTGGTCATGGTACCAATGTTATGGAACTCCTTCCTCAGGGTATTCGTCTATCCCCTGCTATCTCTGCCTTCTGCCAGTGCGTGAAGTCTTTTCTGTTTTGTCTGGCATTACTCCAATCATTCCTGCCTGCCTTATGTTTTAATTTTCTGTATTTTGTTCTGTATATGTATTTTTAGCTATGGTTTTTAATTGGTTTTATGGTGTACTTTTATTATGCTGTTTTAATTATTGGCTGATTGGGTAGAAAGAGAGGGTATAAATGTCATAAATAAATAAACCAGACACTGTAAAATGGGGTAAAAGTTGCAGGAATACTCCCTTATTATAACCATTTATGAGGTCCTGAGATTTTAATTAGTGTTTGGGAATTATTGCCAAACAAGGAATTGGGGTGTGTGTGTGTGTGCGTTAAAATTTAGCTACTTGTTTTATGTAGGTGGTGAGTTTTAGTAGGTTTTACTGTGTTTAGACTCGAGCTCTTCCATTATTAAGAGAGCAGGCCTGTAGAAAGGTAAATGAGGATATGAGGTACTTGGTTGCCTCAGTGAGCTTCCAGTCATGAAAGAACAGTGAAATACAATGAAAGAAGAATATGCTTTAGTACATACTTTGATTTGTTCCAAGTTAATTTCTTGACTTACCTTTTCAACTTTTCTGAGAAGGCATTCTTAAATTTGGCGTCTTGAATCTAGTAAAGGCATGGCACCAAAGGAAGACTTAAAGATGTGTAGAATCTTAGTAGAGGATGGCTTGAGAATAAGGATATCATCATGAGAATTGTTTCAAAGTCTTCTTTGGGCAGGTGTGCTGACTGGGAGGTAGGTACCAGGGAATTCAGACAGAGTAAGATATCCAAATGTCGATGAAATCATGTAGCTGGTATCAACCTATTACCATAGGTCATATGGTGGGAATGACAGAGTTGGAGGCACTTGTGAGAACTGGTTGCTGCTGTGATGTGGTGACTCCTTGTGTTTCCCTCCCTAGCCTTTGCCTGATCATGCTGATGTGGCCACCTGTGGCAGCCCCTTCCAGATAGCACCTGGTAAGAGCATCTGGCTGGACTTCCACCTTTTGTGCCTACATCCATTTCTCTCTTGTCTGGTTTTTTTATCTTCTGATGTTCTCTATGTGTACCCTGTGGCTAATAAAATTCACCTATTTTCCAGGCTTTCATGTGGAGACCATGTATCTTGTGATACCACTTTCACATAAAATGAAAGCTTGGTCCAAATGTAGTATCAATGATGGATTAGTTTTTAAAATCAGCATTTACCAGGGTCAGTGACAGGAAGGCTTCCCTGAACAGTGAAAGTAGCTTTTTTTTTGGTAAAAAAACAAGTTACCTGCATTTTTTTCTTCATTACTTTATTCTACCTCTGAAGAATCAAGGAAAGAGACTGCTAAATCTACTTAATGCTTAATTCTCCCGGTAAAAGAAGAAAAACATTTTGTTGTTTTTAGTAGTTTCTAAAATGGTTCGTGCTAACATTGTACCTTTCTGTCTCCCATTTCGTACTGGCAATTATCACTGCTGTATCTAACAAATATAGCTGAGTTTTACAATATTTGTATTGGACACTGCCCACACTAAAAACTTTATATATGTGACCAAGTACCACTACTGGTATTCTGGTTATATAAATGCTGCCATATAAATATTGCCAATATTGAGTTATTTGTTAAAAAGTATAGTGCAGCAGGAGGATTATGTTGGTAGAATGCCACTGGGGTAAAAAATCCTTGATTTGAGCACTTAAATCATGAATGCCCTAATTATGCATGTAAGTAGAACGATTGAGGTAGAGGTTACGTTTCTAATTTAAAAATGAGTAACTACCCTGTACCACAATGCTGTTGGGTTTTTATAGCTATTGGCTCAAAGAGAATGTTGGTATATAATCAATCTTACTATGTGTTGGAAAACCTTCACAAGTTTGCCAAGCCAAAATAGCTGTAACTGGCTCTTTTGCATCTCTTAAATGAAGCAAAAAAGCCATTTTCTAACATGTGCAGGAAATTCCCTCAGAGTAGTCCTGATACTGAGCCTGGAATAAAATAGCTTTCAGTCATTCACTCTAAAGTAACACCTTCATTTGCAAGCACATTCTCTTCTAGGCACAGTTGTCTACAAGAGAGAAAGTAAGTGTTCTCTCCCAAAGTGAGTCAGTTTTGCAGCTGTTCTGGACTTTTGTGTTACAACCATGTTGCACAGCGATCTGACTGTGACAACTTTGTGCTCTGGAGGTTAGAATTAGAATATGTGCCACTTAATTACTTGTATGTGCATGTAAAATGCATTTCTTGGACTGAATTAAGCTAAAGCCTGAGTCAGTTGGTTTTAAACTTGTTTGCTGATCATCCCTGTTTGAGATACTGGGCATCACTAACCTGGCAGTATGAGGATTTTGGACTGGATGACTGGAGTTCAGGGAGCTTTTCCTTCCATATCATACTGTTCAGATGGTGTGCCCAAAGAGGATATAAACAAATAATCCTGTGACATCTTAAAAGACTCTAGTCCATGTAAGCGTGTGCCCAAGTGTATATAGTAGTTTTTAAAAGACTACAGGTTTCAAAGATGCTGCAGATTAATATGGCTGCTCTTCTGGAGTTCATGGAGGATATTTTTGTGATTTCCTGTGAAACATACAGGAAAAAGTAAACTCATCCTTTTTTGTCCTGTCTGAAGCCTTCTTTTTGTTTCATGAGATTATTGTCCTTTGCCTGCTCTTCTCTTTTATTGTGACATGTTTGGTTCTGGCTTTTCCATTGGTCCTCTTGTTTCAGTTTTTAAAAAGCTGATGTCAACTAATTTTTAGTACATTTTGAATGAAATAATCCATTTTAGCTTTATTATTTTTAGAAAGCTTTGTCTTATAGCTGTCAGACACAGCTAGCTCTTGAATGAATTCTGTTTATTGTTCTCTTATGGATTTGCTTCAGAGCTGCATGCCTTCTGTTCACTCATTTGAAAATAGTGAGTACTAGCTTTGGTTACATCTGCAGTGGTGGCAAAGGAGTCTGGAAGACCTGTGTAATTAAGAACATCTTGTTGTTTTGTTAGAGGAACATTGCAGAGCATTGTTGAAGTTGATGGTTTGCTGGTTATGAACATGAAAAGCCACCTTAACCCCAGTGATGCTACTCATTGCAATATGTAAAAGAGGCAGGAAGGGTTAATACTTCCAATTACTCCTCTGTTTCATTTTGATCTCTCTTAATTTGTGTTGAGTCAGCCAGCCAACTGTTCTCATTGTTCAGTTCCTGTAACTGGGGAAGTCTTGTCATCTTCTTTACCTGATATGTTGCCCCAGCCATAACTGATAGAAAAAGTAACTAAATTCCTTTTGTTCCCATCAGCTTTATTCATTTCCTCTGATCAACATATGCCTAACTTGGTAAGAAAACTATTTCTTGAGTTCAGGGATGTCTTATGCATCGTAGGAAGGAAAAGCATAGACATCATAGTTTTGTGGACCAAGGAGCAACTGGTAAACATGCCCCATTTGGGTGTCCTTGTGGGTTGCTCATTACTTGAGAGTGATAATGATCAGGCCAGACCACAGGTTCTGTTGGCCAGAGGGAAATGTACTGTAAAAATTGGAGTCAATTCCAAGCTACCAACATAAAGCCATTGTCTGGAAGAATTCTGTGCCCACCCTCTTGTGTGGCAGTACAGAAACCTTTTTTGGGGTATTTCATGTGTGTTCAAGGGTGCCCATGCTATCTGATACATTTCTAAAGACAGATCAGAGTGCTGATGCCTTTCATTTCACGAGATGTAATTGTGGATGTCTGGGATGTGTATTGGGGTTGCAGTAGGGGCACTTACCTTGTAATCTTTTATTTTTGGTATTTCTTGCAGAGGGAGCTTCATGGAGGGACTTGACTCCCTGTCCAAAGATCCATCTTCAGGACAGCACAGGCCTCGACCAACACTCCAGCTTGAGCCTTCCCCTGCCCCCCTGCAGCCCAGACAACAGTCCTCAGAACAGCCTCATATCCCAAACACTGGCCACCAACTCATCAGTCTCAGAAAAGGCTTCTGTGCCCCCCACCAAAAGACACTGCCGTTCACTTTCAGTGCCCGAAGATCTCTCACGTTGGCAGACTATCTGGAGGCCCCTGGGCTCCAAAGTGTGGACACACATCAAACGTCGGGACAACAGTGGAGGGGACACTTTGGCAGTTCGACCCCAGAACCTGGCCCAGGGAGCCAACAGATCTTGTTTCAATCCTGCCCCCAGTGCCTCTCATCAGTGTGTTCAAGATGGTGCTGGTGGTGGCAGAAGCCCACCTTTCTTCAGTCTGGCTCTGTCCCGAGAATCCCCAGCTAGTGTACAGTGGGAGACTGGAGAGACTTTGCAGCCCTACCCTTTGCAACGACGTTTCTCCCTGTCACCTGTCAGATTTCTGCCGTCTCCACGAAGCTCTACCACCTCCACACCAGAGCTGCTTCGACACCAGCACAGCCTCCCTCGCAGCCGCTCACAACCATGTGACCTGGACACCAGGAAATGTGGTCTCAAGCGGCGCCATGATGAGGAAGTGAGGTGGCACAGACCCTCACTTGATTTCTACAAGATGAATCAGGTAGGGAAGGAAGCAGGCACTATCCATTCATCTTCAGAGAATGTTAGGTAGGGTCATAGGAAGGAAAAACTGGTGGACTAGATTAGTAGGGACCAACTGTCTGCTTCTGAAGTAAAGCAGAGGGCTGCCTGTTTAACAAAGAACATGGTTCTCTTGACCTCTGCCTTTTAACTAGAGCCAGTAATACCGTGTTTCCCCGAAAATAAGACACTGTCTTATATTTATTTTTTCTCAAGAAGACACACTAGGGCTTATACCACAAATGCATAGAAATCCTGCTAGGGCTTATTTTGGGGGTAGGTCTTATTTTCGGGGAAACGGTATGTTACTGTGAGATGGCTCAAGAGCATTGCAGTGAACAGTGAGAAGGAGTTGGGAGCGATCTATGGCATTAAGATTTATGGGTAGGATGGCAGCAAAACATATTTGCTCTGTGTGTGTGTGTGTATATATATATATGTGTGTATATATATATATATGTGTGTGTGTGTGTGTGTGTATAGGCAATTTGTGGTGTGTGCTGTACAAAACAAAACCTTCTGAAGGTAGCATCCTCCATACACAGTGTAAAGGAGTCTGTTCTTACTACTGCTTTTCTTCTTTGCATGAAAAAGGCAAAGTGACTCTAGGGATGTGGTGCTCACCTCTGTTTCCAAGCCAAAGAGCCAGCGCTGTCCGAAGACGTTTCCGTGGTCATGTGGCCGGCATGACGAGACACAGAGGCACATGGAACGCTGTTACCTTCCCACCGAAGTGGTACCTATTTATCTACTTGCAATTTCTTGCTTTCGAACTGCTAGGTTGGCAGGGACCATCATGCAGCACTAGGGCTCTAACTGCTGAACTACCGAGCTTGAGCCAATTGAACCAATTGAAATGTACTGCAAACAGTACAAAAGTGTAGTAATTTACTGTTGAAGTTGGTGGAACTAGACTATGGCTGCCTGAGAGTGATATAAAAACATGGTTGGGGAGAGCATAGATTTACATTAACAAGACTGTTCTGGGGAAAGGGGCCATTGGAAGTGCAGATTATAAGGCTGGAATGGGTTCAGAAAGCCTTTGCTAGAATAGTCTTTTAGAATAGTCCCACTTAAGTCTGTGCTGAAAATAGTGTTGAAAAATTAAAGTCTGGCTCAGCTAACCATCTGCACAGTCCATAGTAACTTCCCAATGGTGCTTGTATGTGAAGCCCACAATAGCTCTCCTGTCCTCAGAAGCCAGAATGAATTTCTCTTCATAAAGAGAGGTGAACGAGCTATGACTGAGATACACCTGAGAGCACAGCATATCATGAATATGATTGAAAAGCCCTTACGTAACAACAGTAAAAACAAAAATGTGTATAAATTTCCATTGTTCTGTTTGACAGAAACCATTCGCAGGAGCTGTCTGTCAGTTAGACAAATCTGAAGAAGGTGGCTATCCATCATGGCTCTTGGCCTGCAGCCCGCAAGCACCCTCAGCTCCATGCAGTCCTGTCAGCAATTGCATCCAGGTGCTTAGTGAAAGTGAAGAGGAGGAAGAAGCAGAAGCAGCAGCAGAAGCAGCAAGGAGACTAAACTGGAACTTAGCCAGCAAAAGGACTCTCTTCCAACCAGACTTTAGTGATCTGGATCTAACTTTGATTGAGGAGAACTAGGGATTGGATGTTCCTTTGAAAACTGACTCTGGGATCAGCAGCAGGGGAAGGCTGCGTTCCTAGTTGAGGGCAGTGGGGTGGGTGCCAAGGGGAAAGTGGCAGTGGGACTGACGGGGTTTTGTCTGCTTGTTTCTTTTGTATTAAAAAAGGGAAAATCACTTACGTGAGTTATATGTCTTTGGGATGGGACAATGCTGTTGTTGGGGGGAAAGCAGCAGAGACATCTTTGCTAGTGACGCTGACCTTGTTTCTACACGTGACCATCTAGAATTGTTGGTAAAGTCCTTACCTACTCCCAAAGTGCAGAAGCATTTTCCAAAGATAAGTGTAAACAAATTCCAAGAGATGTCACATGATCAGATTCTAATTAAAATCCTTCATAAACAGGCAAAAGTGGTGAAAGTCCTAAGAATCTATATAACAACTTCAGTAAACTGGGAATATACTGGAATTCCTGGTTACTTTGCATTGCACTACTTCATATCTTTCTACAAAGTTTTTTTGGCTCAGTGAATGAGCCAGTTTCCTCCCTGGCTGTTAGAATAGAGGTCCTGGCTGTTCATGAGTGCAGGGGAAAAGAAAAAGAGAGATTTTAGGGCAAGTTTTGTTCTTTAAGGGTTGCAAAGAATAAGCAGTTTGCTTGCTACTTCTCAATGCGAATATTTAAAGAAATATTTTCAATATCATGCTTTGCCAGAGATATGAATAAGAGGGGTATAGTGAAGTAGTTAGAATAAACAGCAGCAAGTTAAGAGCAGCCAGAAAAGGAAAGATTACATGTTCTTAAAACAAGTAGGTGCGTATTTGATAGTAACATCGCCTCGTAACTGAGTTGTATAGTGCCTTTACATTTTGAATAGAGGTCATGGTGCTGTCAAGGTATTGCAGCAAAAAAATAAGACTTGTGTGCCCTTATAATATTAATGGGTAGATGTTCATCAGACAAAGCCTTTCATTTCTTGAATTTTGCTTCTCATGAGGCATATAAGAGCACCTTACCAGAAAACAAGTCGTCTTTGTCTAACTTCTTTTGTGGCTTGTCGATTGACTACTTCAGAGCACCGTACCCCCGACTGCTGCTGCTTTTTTTTTTTAACATAGTGCCCCCTTTCCCCTTTCCCCTTTCCCCCTGTTCGTGCCCTGCACGCAAGACTCCACCCCACTGCTTCGGGAATCCTCAAGCGCCACCACATAGAGGTTAAGGCGCTACACCGGAAGTGATTGCCTGGATCCCGGGACTTTCTAGGCATTCCTCTATGGCTGACGCGGCCCACCTGGCCCGGGCATTGACGGAGATCCGGCCCTCCGCGAACGCAGCCCGGCCCTTCCGCTTCCTTTTGGAGGCCGGTGGCGAGGCAGTGGCGGGGGGCGCTGTGCTGGGGAAGAGAGGAGACGAGGCGGGCGGGTTCTGTGCTGCACTGCCTGAAGTGGTCTGGTTGCAGCCGCCTCCCGCGAGGGCAGAGGCGGACGACGAGCCGCTGGGGATCCCGCCGGCTGCTGCTGTGCCTTGGGCAGGGACCCGCCGCTCTCCTCTGCCCTCGGTCCCGCTAGCTGAGCCGGGGCTGTGCCTTTTTGTTGCGCCCTCCCCTCCTCTCTCCCGTCAGAGTCGCGTGGGCCCGTCTCGGCGTGTCCTATGGACAGACACAAAGTGAAGCGCCAGAGGCTGGACCGCATCTGCGAAGGTAACGCCCTGAAGGCGAGGGAGGGCTGGGCTGGGCTGAGGGAGCGGCGAAGCCGAGTGCTGCTCCAAGCAGCTGGCTGCTTGTGTGTCTCATCGCAAGCTGTCTCAGGCTCGCATCCGGACCCTCCGCTCCCGCGTTGTTCTCCATGCGCTGCGGTGACTGAAACCTGTATTATTATTACTGTTATTTTAAAGGCAGGAAACCGGTTGCGAGATATCGGTGTTATTTCTCCCGTTGTAAACTTGGACGCTGGAGCTATTGCCCAATTAGTTCAAATACTGGAGGCTCAGGAGAATTAATGGGGGGCCAGCTAGAGTTGCCCTATTCTCACCCTGACTAGTAAAAGTTCTAAGCTGCTTCTTGTGCTCAGTAGCGCTTAAAAATTGTGCACTATCTGGATTGCTACATCATCTTGATAAGCTTTACCAGTACTGCTGCAAAGTGGACCAATAGCCCCCCCCCCAATACAAGTCGGGGGACAGGATTAGGTCCACAGTGCGATCACAGATCCGATTTGATCTGGTGGCTTTGTACCTCCTGTTCTTAGTTGTGGCACCCATTACCAGCCCCAATAGTTGAGTACCACGTTGTGTCGTTATTTTACTTCAGGGAGTCTCAGATGTTGCCATTACTAGCATCCTGGAGAAAGAGGTGCCCAAGTTTTCTCCAAGAGCAAAGTCAGCCACTTTAACCTGGGTTTAGGAACAAAGTTGATTCAAAGATTTCAGAGAAAATGGGTCTGCCAGAGTCTGTTACTCATGATGAACTCTGAGAAAGAGCCTGTCCTGGTAGTATCCATCTTCTACTGTATGGGAAAGAGAGGGGCATCTGTCTGTATTTCACAGTCTGGGAGGGGGCAGGAATTTGTATTTTGGCATAGTCAGGATGTGTACGAAATTATTTTTCTGGGAGGGGGTAGAGCCTTAGCAGGTGGCAGAAGTTCAGACTCATGGTCTTGGAATCATTCAGAAACAGTTTACTGATACTTTAGGCAGGTGCTGCTTGAGTCTTCTAGTATTGTGTATGAAATTGTAAGTTGGGCTTCTTGAAAAAGTAGCTCGCACACAGAGCTTGTGTTTAGAAGAAGAAGAGATTGGATTTATACCCTGCCCTTCACTTGGAGTCTCAGAGCGGTTTACAAACTCCTTTCCCTTCCCCTCCCCACAACAGACACCCTGTGAGGTGGGTGGGGCTGAGAGAACTCTGACACAAACTGTTCTTTCAGGAACAGCTGTGCCAAAGCTTGTGACTGACCCAAGGTCCCATCAGCAGGTGCAAGTGGAGGAGTGGGGAATCAAACTCGGTTCTCCCAGATTAGAGTCCACACACTTAACCACTACACCAAACTGGCTCTATATCCTGAAATATATAGTACTAGGGCTTGGCTGGGTCTGGTAACTTACTTATCTGGCACTGCTACGTATTTGTGCCAAGTGGCTATCTACAAAGCTGTTCTACATGCATTAATGCTGTGATGGAAATAAGGAGTTTTTAAATGTACAAGAGGAAATGCGGGTACGTGAAGGTGCAGGAGATTGTGAGAAGTGTGTATTGGTAACACAGCTGCCATTCTGCACAGTATTTTCTTTACTCTTGCACAGTTATTGTCTTCTCATGTGATTAATCTCCTTTAACTGCCTGACAACAGTTTCTTCATTAAGATGCTCAAATGTGTACAGTGGATCTTTCTCAGAAAGAGCCAAGGGTATGGTGCCCAGCCTGTGGCCCAAGATGCCACTGTGCCAATAACTCCAGAACTACTTATCATCCTAAAGAGATACAGGAAGTTGCTGATATAGTTGCTAATATCTTATTCCCCCTCCCGTGTTGCAGTTGATGAAAGAGACAGACTGCTTATCTACGTGTTCTTTTCTAGTCAGCAGGACTCTGAGATGGTTGCAGCATGAACAATATTGTCTGGAGACACAAACTGCATTAACTGGAGGGGGCACAATTTTTCAGAGGCTTTTTGCTGGAATCCTAGTTTAAAACACACCAGAAGCATGATGTCTTTCATCTACTTGTTCCATGAATATGAGCAGATTGATAACTATCATACAAGTGATCCTCATGATATTTTGTAATCTGATCCTGCACTTGTTGTTTTGGAAATGAGTCCAGTTGAATTCAATGGGACTTACTTCCACATGTATGCTTAGACCTGCAGCATTAGTTTCATTTGAGCAGTTTTGTGTTTTTGATGTAGAAAGGTTCATCACAGTAAGGTTTAGGAATTACTGCTGTATGGTACTGTGTGACACTACTCTGATGCCTGCTCTGGACTTGTGTCTGTGCTTTCCCCTTTCCTGTGCTAAAAAAGAGAAAAAAATCAGAGACTTCTCTTTATGAACCCTTGTTTTGTATTTCATCATTACCTGTTTGAATCTGAAATGGGTAATTTGTGCACATGCTGGATGTACTAAGCATTTTCTCTCTCTGGAAATGTATCCTGGTTTCCCTTTATTTGTGGTCACCATAGGAGACAGAGAAAGGATATATTAGCATGAGTCACCATTGTGTTTGCCTTCCATGAGATTGCATGGGGTTGATATAGTGTGCACAAGTTTTTGGGTGTTTTTTTTTAATACCCAGTTATATAGTTCACAAGTCTGCCTGAGCCCAGCTGCATGCATCACTTGTTCAAGCAATGTTGGTGTGCATCTATTAACATGAGTGAGTCTTGGGAGCTTCTATACATATCTTAAAAGCAGCTCTTCCAATTAAGGTATCATCCATTTTTGGTGCTGCTGGATTAAGACTGATGATATAGTGACTCCCAAGATAAGGTTAGAGGGCATATGATACTGTGGCCTTCCAGAAGCTAAGATGATCTTGGTGTGTTCAGTGACTGGACGGGAGGCCTCCTATGTAAGCTGTGTGCAAAAAGAAAGGCAGGACATAAGTATAATAAATAATATGTGCCTTTTGTTCATTATTACAATTAATTAAGATTTCTGTTCTTCTGTAGGTATAAGGCCTCCTATTGGTAATGGCCCAATGCCAGCGCGTCCCTTGGTTGCCCTCCTGGATGGCAGGGATTGCACTGTAGAGATGCCTATTTTGAAGGATGTTGCCACAGTGGCTTTCTGTGATGCCCAGTCTACTCAGGAAATCCATGAAAAGGTAAGCATGCAATATGACCAGGCTGGGATCTTCCTTTCCAATGAAGAATGGAGGCTGGGGTTCAGGGGTTCATAAATTTTGGCATGGTTCAATAGCTAGGTGTTCTTTGTAGCTGACTCATCTTCCCCTCAAATTTTGGAAAAGCCCAGTATGAAGGGCAGAGAATTTAGGGAAGGGGTGTTTGTTTGCTTTTACATTCTGCTTTTGCCTCAGGAATAAACTGTGCTTTATAGGTTCTGCCTTCAAAATCCAAGTGTGTGTGTGTGGTGGTGGTGGTGGTGGTGGTGACAGCTATCTTGTCTCTCTCCCAAGTTCCCCATAACTCATGGAGGACCTGGGGTAGGGAGCCTTTGTGCTGGGAGTGTGGGAAATGAGTGCTTACCAAAATTGGGTGTGAACTTAATTGCTGGCAAATCTCGAAAGTGGATTTTAGTATACTGATCTGATTTTTTCTAGCAAGCATCATTTTGTTGTTCTGCCTTCCCATAGGTGCTAAATGAAGCTGTTGGGGCTCTGATGTACCACACCATTACCTTGTCGCGCCAGGACCTGGAGAAATTCAAAGCTCTTCGGGTCATTGTGCGAATTGGCAGTGGCTATGACAATGTGGATATCAAGTCAGCTGCAGAATTAGGTAATATTTTGGCAATATTTTTTTAAAGAGTAAATATGTAGGGCAAAAAATAAACTTCTGAAAGTCAGTCAGAAAATTAGAATTCCTTGAGTGATGGTTGCTCTCAGGTGATAGGGGGGGGGGGGGCTGTGGTTCAGTGGTACAGCATGTGTTTTGCATGCAGAAGGTGCTGGTTCAATCTTTGGGGCCCTTCAGTTAATGGATCAAGTAGCAAGCGATGTGAAAGACCTGCACCCGAGACCCTGGAGGGTTGCTGCCAATCAGGGTAGACCATACTGGATAGATGGGCCAGTGAGCTGGCTCTCTATAAGGAAGCTTGGTGTGTACTATTAAAATTTCAGAAATGGGCAACTTGGGCTGAGAAGTAGCAACTTGCCCAAGGCTGTAGCACAGCTGGACTTGTAGCATGGTCTATGGAACAACAAACATGGTGCCTGATAAACCTTTTTGCTAATAATAATAATTAATGATTATCATATGCAGTGTTTCCTCTAAGCTGAGTTAGTGTGAGCTAGCTCACAGTTTTTTAGCCTCCGGCTCACACATTTTTATCTTAGCTCAGGGAGGATGGCTCTAGAGCAAACTAATTTATGCAGTAGCCAAATTGCTCACTGACAACTTTAATGCCAGTAGCTCACAAAGTAGAATTTTTGCTCACAAGACTCCACAGCTTAGGGGGAGCATTGATCATATGGCATTGTGTATAGAATAGACAGGAGAGTCTAAGGAAAGGAGGGAAGTGATTTTTGCCTCCTCCCTTTGCAGACGCCTCATTTTGCATTTGAGGGTCCCTTGTCTCCCAAGAGGAACATTTTAAGAAGCATATTGGTGGGTAGATAGAATTTTATTGCACAAGGTCAAAGGCCGTAACAATATAATGATAGCTGCCCAAGCAGTAATAAATACTACAGTAAAAACACAGCAGAGTTAAAAACAATGTTGAAATTGTCAGGACCAGGACATAGCGGAGAATACAGCATGTTGAACATCAGGGCGGAAGTTTTGCGTGAATCTTCTTGGCAGCCAGTGCATACAGTGACATCATATAGGTGACATAATGATCATCATCCAATAAGAGGTAAATGATTTTGTCTGCCATTGAATACGAAGCTAGCCTGGCTAAAATGGCTGCAAGGAACTTGGCCTTGGGGACTGAGGAAAGGTGACAAAACAGAACATAATGAGGGAGATCCTCCAGTTCCAGGGCTCCACAGATACATACTCGCTGAGCAACTGGTATATGCTGATAACGGTCAACTAACACGGCAGTTGTCATTGATATCTGAGAGCTGCAAAGGCTTCTCTAAGTTTGTGGAAGGTGATGCTGGACATATAGGAAGCTCTGGTGTGATCTCATTTGAGCCGTTTGAATCATAGGGAAAATCTAGAACTGATAATAGCTCCCCTATCTAAGGCGGCATCTATATTGAATATCAGATCCCGAGTTTTTAACCCATCCAGAGGAAAGCCCTAGGGGGTCAACAGATATTGGTTAACAGCAGGGCCTGTGATAGCTTGCAACCCAAGAGGTGTCTTTCTGGAGCTGGATAAAGCACTGCTTAGAAAGATGACTAGAAGGAGAATTCTTCATTTTTCTCCAGTAATTAATTAAGGCAGTGTGGGTTTGGGCCCCAACAGAAGGCAAGCCAGATTCAGCTGCAGTAGGGCAGCTGGAGTGCCCTGAGGCAGGACCAAAATTCTCTAGAAAGGAGTTGTCTCCAAGCTAGATATCTTGTTGTCATTCCAACCCCAGATCTCAGCCCCATACAGGAGTTTGGTAATGAGTTTACTCTGGAACAATTTCAAGGTGGGATTTATCAAAAAGCCACCTTTTGAGTGATAGAACTTAAGGATAGCCCCAGTCGATCTTGTGACTGAGGACTTCATTATCGCCATATGAGCCTTCCATGGGAGATTTTCAGAAAAGGTTAACCCAAGGTATTTAAAACTGCAGCACTGATCTATTGGGATGTTGTCTATGTGCCACCAGAACTTATGGGGCTTCTTTCCAAAAACCATCACCTTAGCCTTAGAGTGATTGATGCATAGAGATTCTTTTTTGCAGAAGTTGCTAAGGAGGGAAGTGATTTTTCCCTCCTCCCTCTGCAGACAACACATTTTGCTCTTGGGGGTCGCTTGTCTCCCAAGAGGAATGTTTTAAGAAGCATATTGGACTGCAGCTGGAGTGGGGAGGTGAGAAAGTCCTTCTTCACTGAAGGAAATCCCTTCCACCAGTGAAGATTTTCTGCAGTGTCCAGACCAGAACGTATTGATTCGATATAACTTTTGCACAACTGTGCCACAGACTAAAATGCACATTGTTCAAATACATAGGTCCAATTAATCGTGTAACTCGTCTGCTTCAAGCACTTCTGAGCGATTGTTCTGAAGGAATTTCCTGTTTCAGCCAGTGTACCTAAGTGCTTGAATTTTTGCTATGCTTTAACTTTGTCTTTATCCTTTCACAGTGTTGAAATTATAGCAATTATATACCAAAATGAAATTTTTGCTTTGCTTCACTGTAGTTGCTCCTAAACTATGATACCCTTATGGAGAGTTGAGCACTTGTCAATAAATTGTTTAATGGTGCCCATAGCACAGTAGTAGGCCATATGTCTTTCCTTTTGAAGATCCCAGGGTAGGTCTTTGGCATCTGTGTCTTAGTGCATTTTTATCCTGCCCTTCCTTCAAGGACTTCAGTGTGGTATACATGATAAAATAACCTTGGGTAATAGAACTTTGGAATATCTTTGCCTGACAAATAGGAGAGCTGCTGCTGGCTTAGGGCAAAAAAAAACTCTTGTAGACTAGATAGACCAGTGTCAGACTCCATGCAATGCTGCATTTTCTGTTTTCTTCCTACAGACTTCTTAGGTCAGAGAATCTTTTTGTTCACAACATTCTGTGGACTAAGAATAAAACTAATAGTGGCAACAGTGACTGGTGTAATATTGCTGAATAATACACTATAGGTGATAACAATATACTGTCTTGCCTGTCGCACTGGTACATTGAGATGTGCTTCCACATCTTGGTTTGTGTTTGGGATTGCTTTGGGAATTCTTAGTCTCTTCTCTCTTTTCTCTTAGGCATTGCTGTGTGCAACATCCCTTCCTCTTCTGTGGAAGAAACAGCTGATTCCACGCTTTGCCACATCCTGAATTTGTATCGGCGGGTTACGTGGCTCCACCAGGCCATGCGAGAAGGAAACAGAGCCTCAAGTATGGAACAGATTAGAGAGGTGGCTGGAGGTGCTGTGCGTATCCGTGGTGAGACGTTGGGCATCATTGGTCTTGGTAAGAAGCTGATGCTTTTGCATATTCTGAAAGAGCCCTTTTGGGATTACCCGAGCACTTTGAACATCTCAATAGTGATAGTGATCAACAGAGTACATCTAGCAGCTGAAACATAGTCCTAGTATTGGCATCCTGGGAATCCAGGAATAGAGCACTGGACTGGAGGCACTGGAAGGTACTTTTTGTAAGCCCCCATTTGATACCCCTTGACTCAGCCCACTTGCACGATCATTGTTTCCAAACCAAGATGCTTCCCCCACCCCTGCACCCCCAGTATGCTCATGCTGAAAAAATGCACCTGGATATGAACAGGAGAAAACCCTAACGGCTGCCTTGTGCCATCTGTTCACAACTGAAGCTCAAGAAGTACCTGCTGACTTTTGAAAAGGATCCCATTACCAAGGAAAAGAAAATTAACTTTACGGGTTTTTTTAAAAAAATTGTTTAATATTTGAATTGATAAAATTCAGAGATAGAATCATAGGTTCTTCTAAATACTGGCTTTGTACCTCTCCCCTCTTTCCTCCTAGTTATCTGGTCCATCTTTGTCAATGGGAAGTACCAATTGGCAGAGACTATGAATTACATAAAATGCTGTCTCATACTGAACCAGACCTGTATTCTGTCTAGCCCTGTACTGTCCATTATGGCTGGTATTGACTTTCCAATAACTCATAGGTTTTGTTTTCTAAATCAGGGCCCAAACAACTTGCGAATTGCCAATAACATGCAGTAATCAAGGCCCCCTCTGGTCAGGGTTCTACAAGGTACAATTGTGTTTGTGGAATAAAAAATCCAGCCCAATAGGAGATTGTGTTACTGGGCATATGTTTGACCCATGTATGATCAACTATTATCTGTACCAGCTTTTGGCAAGTTGTCTTATTTATTTATTAATTCATTATTTATCTGATTTATACCCCGCCTCCCCGCTTTACAGCAGGCTCAGGGCGGCTTACACTAATACATACGATACAATTAAAATTACATAAAATCATCTAAAACAGTTTAACTATAAACAGTCATAATTTATGAAGTGCTGCATAATAAATAGTTGTTATAAGATGGCATATGTGTACACAGATCTCACCATCATTCTGCTCAAGATCTTCCTGACAAATGGGCGGCACAGGCTAGGTGTCGGGAACCTAGGGCCAGGGCAATAATTTAAGCTGTTAGCGTGGTGGTGGCTCCTAATTAAAGGCCTGGTGGAAGAGCTCCGTCTTGCAGGCCCTGCGGAACTGTAGAAGATCCCGCAGGGCCCTGATCTCTTCCAGGAGCTCATTCCACCAGTACGGAGCCACCACTGAGAAGGCCCTGGCCCTGGTAATAGCAAGCCTGGCATCTTTGGGTCCCGGGAGGGTCAGTCTGTTTTGTGACCCCAACTGTAGTGCTCTCTGGGTAGATATGGGGAAAGGTGATCCCTCAGGTATTTCGCACCCTGGCCATATAGGGCTTTAAAGGTAAGAACCAGCACCTTGAAGCGAATTTGGTATGCTATTGGCAGCCAGTGCAGTGTCTTTTAGCGCAGGCTGAATGTGCTCCCACCCGGGGAGACCCATCAGAAGCCTGGCTGCAGCATTCTGCACTAGTTGCAGCTTCCGAATCTGCGACAAGGGCAGCCCCATGTAGAGAGCATTACAGTAGTCTCGTCTCGAGGTGACCATCACATGAATCACTGTTGCCAGGTCATTGCGGTTGAGGAAGGGAACCAACTGCCTAATCAGCCGAAGTTGATAAAAAGCTGACTTGGCAGTGGCTGCTACCTCGGCATCCAGGAGCACTCACAAACTCCTCACCTCCGGCGCTGGCACCAATGGCGCCCCATTGAAGGTTGGGAGTAGAATCCCTACCCTTGCACCTCCCCGACTCAGGCACAGGACCTCCGTCTTTGTCAAAATCAGTTTCAGCCGGCTCAGCCTAAGCCATCTATGAACATTATCATGTGAATGTGATACTGGAATACAAAGGACCTTTGCTATCCAATTAAGACCACTGTTGTAGTGTGGGTGGGTTTCCTTGGAGAAAAATATGTAGACTACCTCAAGAGTACCCACATTTGTCTTCCTACTCCTTTTAATTATAGAGAGGATAGTAAAATAAACGGAGTTGGCCATGAAGTGTGCTCATGTGGGTCATTCCTCATGCTCGTCCCAGTACTTAGCTCCCAGTTAGGAATATGTTGTGCTTTACTTAAGATGAACACATTCTCTTTCTTTAAGGCCGAGTTGGGCAAGCAGTCGCTCTGCGTGCAAAACCCTTTGGCTTCAACGTGATTTTCTATGATCCATATCTACCTGATGGAGTGGAGCGTTCCCTGGGATTGCAACGCATGGCCACCCTGCAGGACCTGCTAATGCACAGTGACTGCATCACATTGCACTGCAGCCTCAATGAGCATAATCACCACCTCATCAATGACTTCACCATTAAACAGGTGCAGCCTTGCATTGTGCTGGGAATACAAGTTGCTGCTGTAAGGGTTGCCTCAGCTGTGTGGCTTCAGCTTCTGTGCAAGCTTGGGCTGTGTAGATCTGGAGCTTGCATTTCTGCTGAGGGTAGTATTTTGCTGACTCTGTGACTAATTTGATTCTGTAATCATAAAGTGCCTCTCACAATTAAATGTTTAGTTTCAGTCTCTATATAAGTAACTGGCAGTGTTAAGTAAGCCAAGAATATTGAAAATAGTTTTAAAAAACACTTCAAACAGCTATGGATTGCTCTTATCTGTCTGGCCTCTCAGTGCTCATTTAATGTGCTGTACATTTTTGAAGGGAACAGTTTTATATTGTAACAGGTCTTTGCTTGTTTAATGATAGTTTGATGTTTGTAATTCCTCCTTGTGGGCTTTCGACTGTGCTTCTTCCTACTTGTCTCCATTCAGTGGTGCAGAAGTTGATTGATCTTTCCAATGTGATGCAAGTTCTCTAGAAGGAAGAGTTGGCTGTGGGCTGAACTAGGAGGCACCTCCTATTTCCTCCTTAGAGCCGAAAGACTTTCTCCATCTTTTGTGAGCTGTCTCAGGTTCCAACGTCCGGCCTTAGGTTGCCTGGTTTAGACTGGTGTATGCTGTAGTTTGTCTTTGTTAACAGGCCAAGACGAAGAAAAAGCAAAAAGTAATTAAGAGTGCTGTTTCCTACATGTGGTTCTTGAGCAACAGGAAATGGCAGAGCCAGCTTATCTCCCTTTGGTGTGGACTGCAGGAACAACTTCACATTGGCTATGACTGAGGAAGTGGTTGCTGTTTTGTCTAGAGACTCTTGCTTTCCCCTTTAGAAGCAAGGGCAGGAAGACTGACCTTGTCCTACATAGGTTCATGACATCTAAAGTAATAGCTGTTGTGATAGCTTCAGCATTGTTGCCGGTGTCCATAGCTTCTTTGTAGCCAGGTCGAGCAACAGCATTGGAGCAACTGTTGAAGCTAATAGCATTGATTCTTACTGACTGATCTATTTGATATGTCACTACATGGCTGGAAGTAGCTCTTATGGCTCCAGCAGGTATAGAGAGGATCTCCTCTAAGAAGGGAGTCCCTGAGAAGTCAACAGCTCCACCAGCTAAGGAGGAGGGCACTGTCTACTGTTTGCTAGATAGTGATCCTGACAGACCTGTTTCCAGGTAATCGTGGGGCCTTCAGCAGTATGTCTTGCTCTCTCCCATTAATAGTGCCTCGTTCCTCAATCCCTTCCCCCCAATCTCCCAAGAAATCTACTGCCCCCATCAGTTACTAGACTGCTCCCTCTTTGGTTCCTCTGCTCCCAAGTGCTATTTAGAGCAGGCATTGGTGCAGTTGTCCGTTGTTTTCCATTGTTGCCACTGGTGGCTGGCCAGCTTGTCCCCACTCCCTATTCTAATGGTGGAGGTGGCTGGGAGCTGCTGCCCAGACCTAGGGGGAGAAGGTGGGGGAATCAGAAAGCAACTTTTGCTCCTGGACACTACCTGCACAGGTGAGTGAGTGAAGAAGCAAGAGGGTAGCAGGGAACAAGGGCATCAGCTTCTTCTGGGTGGGGAGGAAGAGACAGCTGGTGAGTGGGTGGCAGCTGGAAGCAGACACTTGCCCTTAATAGGGAGGTGCTTGTGGCCAGCTGGCCGCTTCCTGCTGTCTGTGTAAGGTTGAAGTAGGGAAGAAGAGGAGCTGCATGATGTTGGTGAGGAGGCGCAGCCCTCCAAGGAAACCCCATCTTTGCCGTGGTCTGATGGGACAGGACAGGTCACTGGCAATGTTCCCTATAAGCTGTGGAGCCCTGTGAGCAAAGATTCTGCTTTGTGAGCTACTGGCATTAATGTTGTGAGCAAGCGATTTGGCTACTGCATAAGTTAGTTTGCTCTGGAGCCATCCTTCCTGAGCTAAGGCAAAAAAGTGTGAGCCGGTGGCTAAAAAACTGAGTTAGCTCACACTAACTCAGGTTAGAGGGAACACTGGTCACTGGTAGGCTCTACTGGGGTTCTGGTGCCTTGCCCAAAGTACCATGTTCCAAGGCCCACCTTTCCTGTTTTGTTTGTGTGTGCTGGGTTTGCTCTGGCTTGAGTCTTCTGTTTCCCAGTCAGCTTTAGTTTCTTGGCTGGAGAGGATTACTATAGCAATGGGCTGTATGAGGGAAATTGGGAGGTGCCAAGTCTGTCAGGAGTAAAGAGATCATTCAGCATCTGTTCCACAGTAAATGGGTAGAGAGAAGCATTTTCTGCCTATTCTCAGTCACCTGTGGGTTTGTTCAGTGCACTGAAGTGCCTTCCTGGTGCAGATAAATAACAGTTTATGATGCCTGCCCTGCATTCTTTACATTGCTTGCCTGCAGAATGGAGATTAAACTTAAGCTTCTGTTAATGGTTTTTAATGCCCTAAGCAGCATGTCTTCTTGATGGCTGTCTGGTCCGACAGTGTCTTGCTGTTTGGGAATCTGGCCACCATACCTTGAGGCAGTTCGCTATTGAGCTTTTGCTGTAGATGTGTCTCCTGATTTTCCTCTGTTTCTTGGTCAGTGGAAAAGAATGCCTGATTTCTGTGCTCAGTCCACACTTTCTAGGTGTTCTTGGAGTAAAGGTGCCATTTCCCCTCAGCATCTGCCCTTCCTTTCCTCTTCAACCATCATCTCCACTTGTAGCACTTTTCTCCAGAGCCAGAACATCTCTGATCCTTGAGACCAAAGATACCATGCTCTTACTGACGTGGGACTGTTCTGGTTCTCTCTCCAGGCTGGGGGAAGGGAGGTGGTCTCCCATCCTGGGAGGAACTTGTTTGCAGGCAGGCAGAATTGTTACTAAACTAACAAAATGCACGTTGCATGTTCAGGTCCTCTCTTTCTGTCATTTTTAAAAAGCCTCAAGAGAAGCCCAGGATATAGGCTAAAAGCAATGTCACTGAATGGAGATGGAGCGCTGGGATGATGGGAGAGGGGCCAGCCTCTCAGCCACGGTCTTCAAGGGGTTTTAGAAGTCCCCCCTCCAATTTGCATCTCCCACTGCCTTTTTTGTTTCCCCTCCTTTAAGATGATGATGATTATCCTGCTCTCCCCCACTAATGTTTTCATATTGCTATAACTTTTGTTGATTATTTCAGTACTTGAATTGCTTTCAGATAAAGCAAAGTGTATACTGTTTCCACGATTCAGGTTGCCGTGAGTTTTCCAGACTCTTGATGTATTTGAGGGAAATACTTTACCCCTTGTTCACAATGACTGTCCTGTGCTCGTATTTTAATTTTTGCAGCTCTTGTTATTGCCATTTTGGCAGTGCTCAACAGCTTCCTCTATATTTATTTCTACAGATGCGCCAAGGCTGTTTTCTGGTGAATACAGCTCGTGGGGGACTGGTTGATGAGAAAGCCTTGGCTCAAGCGCTAAAGGAAGGGAGAATCAGAGGGGCAGCATTAGATGTGCATGAGTCTGAGCCCTTCAGGTAATGAC